AATGGTAGAGAAAGTATAAATAATATGGAGATTATATTTGTTGGGATTTGAGAATATCAAAAATTTTAAAAACTAATATAATATGGGGTAAAGGAGGGCTTAAAAGTTTTGCGAGTACAAAGATCTATCACAAATATATCAAAAACAAGTAACGCTAAAAAATTTTCAACAACAATATTTGAAACTAGAGAAAAAAAAGATATAATCAACCACTACCTTCATTCTTAAAAAGTTGCTATCGAAAGATAAACGGTAATCTTTGAAAATCCTAAGGATTTTTACTGATTATTTCAGATAATTGTTAGTTTGATATGTGGTATTTGTCGTGATGTGTTGGGTTTGGTTTTCACAATATAATTGTCAAAAGTCAAATTGGACCTTGTGCCTTGTCCTATCCTACTTGTAATTGTAGGAACCCGTTCCGGCAAATTTTTTTTTAAAAAAGCGCTACATACAGAAACCGATTTAACAAGTGAATTTTATAAATTATAATTTAACTAATTTTTATTAAACATTCCTATTATAGTAATAAACATACATATATGTGCACAAAATGGAAACATGCAAACCGTTTTTTGAACCGTTTTTTTTAATTTTAGCGTTCCGGCAAAAAAAATATTAGCACAACACTACTGAATATGATGTAAAACAATCAATAGATTGACATGTAAAAGGATATAGAAATGTATGTTAATAATAAATAAAGTAATTATGATGGGTAAATGACACATTGAATCTCTAGGCCAATAATGTAAAAATATTAATTCATTCAACACTTTTTCAGATATTTGTGATTATTTAAATCTGATACTAAAAATAAAATGCGAATCGAATAATAAACCTTGCCATGTTGATGAAACGATCGAATATATTGTTCTTCGATAAATATAAAACATGTTCAAACATTTATTTCTTATGCACGACCATTAATTTACGCTCAGCTTTATATCACAACCTGATTATTATTTCCACAAATTGGCCTTCATTCAGACAGACCCTAACGGGACGCCCACACCGCCACACCGCCACACCGGTCTCGGCAATCGCGCGGCGTCCTCACACCCGCATCAGCCCGCTGGCGGACGCGATCTCCGTACCCATCGATATTCGCTGACATAACACGCCGTTTGTCTTCGCCACTGCATCGTATCAATGCTCTTTCGAAAGGATTCGAATTGTTCGACATCGCACGAATAGAAAAGTCATTGCTGATTCCTCGGGAATGCAATTTATTGCAAAACCATTACTGTGATGTATGGTGCAAAACAGTCAGGTCCACGTAAGCCTGAGGGAACTTTGAGGGACTTTTCGTAGCTATGTGAACGAAAGTTATAGTAATAGATGAACTTTGTTTTTGAATAGAGGGTATTTTAATTAAATGCTTTTAACGTGTTGAATAAAAAATATACGTTCATAATTAGTAAAGCCATTCTGCTAGAGACATATAAGAAATTCCTTGAAATATGTCCTAAAAACTATAAATATCATTTGATTTGTAATTTTACCTTATTATTTAATTAACTAGCTGTAAGTGGAATTCTGTCTTGAGGCAATTATGGCATCGTGCCTTAAGGCAAATTGCTGGAACTTCCCGTACCGTAACGAAATGTTCGAGGAATACTGAATGTTTTCAAATAGATTATTATAAATATTGTAACATTGTCTAATATTTATAAGAATTATATAAACTGAATTGTAAAGTTGAAATTATTTGTAAAGTATATTAGAACTATAGTCAGAATTAAAAATAAAATCTGAATTATTTTCGATATACAAAATATTAAAAAAAAAAAGTTAAAACAAAATTTTTTTTTTTCAAAATCAATTATTTTGTTAAGACAAGCAGAAAGTTCTTTGAATCATTTAAATCGGACGCTTAGTTCTCTCAAAAACTGCCATTTTTTACATATTTAGCTCCGTATCTTCGAAATGGCTGGGCCTGCCTTTGCCAAAAACTAATAAACATTTTTTCCAATCATTACTAATTGAATGTTTTTTAGATCATTCAAATCGGATACTCAGTTCTCTCAAAAAGTCGATTTCTATTTTCTGCATTCTTTGCTCCGTATCTCCGAAACGGCTGGACCTGCCTTTGCTAAAAACTAATCAGCTCCTTTCCCTATCAATAGCAATCGAATGTTTTTTGAACCATTCAAATCGGTTGATCCGCGCGCCCGAAAACGTGACTGGAAATTTGTATCAATACATATATACACACACACACACATCCATTTTTTCTGAGGTATGCCAAAATGTTCAGAAACCTTCAAAACGTCGAGATATGTAAAAATTTTCAATTCCGATTTTCGGCCCATTACAATAACTTACCCTACGGGAAGTTAAAAATTAGTAAGTGTTGATGTTTCTCCTCAAAGAGTTGTGCTAAATGTCTAATCCTATCATGCACGACGGACTCTGCAATTTAATTTATTTTATCTTACAAAAGCTGTAAGCTAATCTGCAATCATTTATCGATCAGTCAGGTATTTTGAATAATGAAATTTATGTGAGGTACATAATCACATATTTCGCGCGGATCTAGTACATAAACCCTAACCAACTCAACAACAAAGCATCACATAAATCATTAGACGTAAATCAAGAAAATGAGACGAAATAGCTCAAATTCAAGAACAACGCATCCGGCATTACAAATAACAACGTGCCGTCAGTAACAAACTATATAATTTCAAGACGAAACAATGAGCAGACATAAGTGCGCGCGTATATGGCTTATACGAAAAAGAACATTGCGGTGGGATCGCCCAACACTCAGGCCGGCAGAGCCTGAGCCAAAGAAGTGCGAAAGATAAGCGAGGAGATCTCAAAATCATGGGAAAATATTTTTACTCGCGTAAAATGAAATAATAAGCAAAATAAATAGCCCGGTGCCGATGCCGGAGCGCTGGACTTCTTGCCCTTGCTCGGGTCGTGGCATACAGATTGCGGGTTCGTCTTGAAGCCAAACGAATGGCAGGGAATGCGAACCAATTATACCTTCTGCCAGTAAAAGAAAAGTTTAAGCAAGAAACAAATAACTAATTTATTATTAATCGGGGTCGCTTGTAGTCAACTGACTAGAATGACTAGACCTGAATCAGAGGTCCTGGGAAACGGTTTTTACTTGGAAATATAGATAGAAATATGTTTCCAAGTAAAAATAGTCTTGATCTGGTGTCGCTTCATGAATAGATATTCGCCTTATTACAGAAATTGCAAGAAGACTTCATCATACAGAAACAAGACAACTATTTGTGTTGCTATCTGTAAAACTGACTGGTATTATCTCTGATTTTGAATTAAATAGTCAAGCTGTAGTAAACATAGATAGCAATATGTTTCCAAGTAAAAATAGTTTTGATCTGGTATTGCTGCATCAATAGATGTTCGGCCTATTACAGAAATTGTAATAATAATTTTATCACAGGTGAAACAAATGGTTACGTTGCCATCTGTAAAACTAGTTTTACAGATGGCAACTACTAACTTTGACTTTGATTTAATACTATTAAGTTAATATGATAAATATAATAATAATAAACCAAAATATTAATGCACTTGGTGAAAATATTTACACTATTTTCATACAGAATTAAAAAATATAATTAATTAATTATTTTATAAACTTTCCAACATCATATGAAAATGATTGAACTGATTATGGAAACTGACGTTATTGCTTTGAATTTCTTGAAAGATGCACGTTTTAGATTTTTACATTTAGCCGATAATACTGAGATTTCTCTTAATCAAGAAATTAAACCCAAAACATGATATTCAAGACAAGTAAATTAATTGCTGTTAATCAAAGGCTTACTATAAGTCTTTGGTTTCCCTTCCCTGCGATGCGTCGGAGTCTCCTCGATCGGCGCGTTGCCCGTTGCCTCTCGAAGGCGTGACGCCCTCCGTGCGGCCGTCACGCACCTCACGAGCGCCTGCCAGAGCCTGGGTCATCCGAGTAGATCGAGAGATATCAACCCCCAACCAACAAAATGCGGAATGGTGCGTGCTGCGTGCTCCGTGCATTGCAACATATTGCGAAAACTAATGATAACTCGCACAAAATGCGCACGAAGTAATAAAGATTCGAAAAATCGGTGAAACACTTGATGGTGCACGCTCTTCTTTATTGAACCGTAAAATTTTATATTTGAAAATTATATACGTTTTGAAATCCGTGCCAAAGGTAAGTCCGTATGCAAATTGGAAGCTTTCAAGAACGGTTTACGGTACAGGGGTACAGGATTCTGAATCGCGAGCTTCAATGTTGGTAGAAATTATTTGTCGAAAATTTAAAGCATTGCAAACATATGCAATGCATGTACAATTTTGAACCAAATGTTACATTAACACGCTAAAAAATCTGTATATTAAATATTAATAAATAGATTGCAATTAGAGGCTTTTAACATAATCTAAATTCAATTTATGAAAAGAGTCAATTACGCTTTTATAAGTGATTTAATGCGTCAGAATCTATACCAGAATCTTCAGAAAATTCTTGAAACCGTAAGTAGTTCCACTTAAGACAGAAAAAAATTCAATTAGTTCATGTGCACTGGTATCTTACCCATATACTTAAGTGATTGAAATTTATTAGATTAATATTGGGTTTGATATTCATGCACACACATTTTCTACAAAAAGTTTTTAGTTTTTTGTAGAAATTTCAATTTTTATATCATCGTCAAAAATATAAGAATCAATTTCAAATAGCATTTCAATTTGAAAATGCAGCTGATTTATTGTTATATTATAATTTATGGATATAATGACAGAGAGTCATAAAATCGATTTGAAGAAAATTTACACCGGCACCTATTCTATATTTGTCTTTAATTATTAATTAAAATAGGTGTATTGTACTGCTACCATTGTCATTGTCTTATTATTGTTATCTGAATTTATCATTATCCAATTATAATATTACTTTTATATTTTTTATTTTAATTCAATATAAAATAAAGGTCTTTGCATTGAACTTTATTGAAGCGCAATTAATTGAACTTTACGGTAATAAACAAATTAGCAAATACGCAAATAAACAAAATGTTCCGCGTGAGCATTTTATTTGTGGTATTGTTTGTAGGGATTCAAGGTACACAAATATTTTATACAAAAAATTAAATATATTTTGTTACGTTTTAGAACATGTTTGTATTATGTATTATATCCTTGATTAAAAGTGATAATTTTTTGTACCATTTTTAGGTAATGCAATTGGGCTTGCCGAGGACTATGCAAACGATAAAGAATATATGATGTTTCCTGATGGCGAAGGAAAATTACATCTGATCCATCTCAAGGAGGACAAATATCAACCACAAATCAAATTTAATGTCAATAAACATATGAATTTCCTTCTATATACCAGGTAAATATCAAAACTCCTTAAAATTACATTTACTATGCAAAATATTTCTGAAAAAAACAAGGAGAACCCAAAACGAAAATCGTTTGCTAAAAGTACGATGGATTTACTAATAATATTTTTTTCAGGGAAAATCCTGATGAACCCCAAGTTTTGAAATTTAAGAGTTTGGCCTCAATTAGAGAATCTAACTTTGCACAGATTCATGAAACATTTTTTGTAACTCACGGCTGGAAAAGTGGCCCAAAAAGTTCAGTAAATATATTGATCAAAAACGGTTAGTATAATAATAATAATATTAATATTATGAATAGTTAATTAATAACTATGTGTCCTTTACTAGCACTTTTGAAAGCTGGTGATTACAATGTGATCGTAGTGGATTGGAAATATGGTGCTTCCTACAATTATTTCGCAGCCAGGGGTCATGCTGCCACTGCCGGAAAACACTTAGGAAACTTCCTGAACTTCCTGGTTAAAGAAATCAACCTAAGACTGAAGACAGTACATTTGATCGGACACAGTTTGGGTGCTCACGTAATGGGATTTGCAGGAAAAACTATCAGGAAAGAAAATAAAGGACAAAAAGTTGGCCAAATTGTTGGTAAGTAGAAAGGATTCATCTAACTAGAAAACTGTACCAAACATGTTATTTTTTTTAAATTGGTTATTAGAATAAAATACAATTCTTCAAGCCATTGAGAAGAAGACGCAACTTAAAGCCTTTAATTATAAGTCTAACATTAATCTTATATTTAGATATGGATCTATTAGGAAATCTTCTCAATGGAGATGATACCAAAATGAAATGATATATAGTATTGCAAACCAACAGAGAATATTTTTATTTTATTACCATTAATGTTGATTAATTTATTTAGGTTTGGATCCAGCTCTTCCCTTATATACTTTTGGAAATCCAGGTGGCAGATTAGAACTAAATGATGCCCAATACGTCGAAATTATTCATACAAATGGTGGAAAACTAGGTAAAATTATGAAAACAGAAATCTCAGACTTTATACTACAGCTAAATTAACATCGAAATATTTTTAAATCAGGCTTTTTGGATGCCATTGGTCATGCTGATTACTATCCTAACTGGGGATCTACTCAACCAGGCTGTGGATTGGATATGTTTGGTAAGACTTTAATGAATTCATATATATTTATTATTTAAAAATATTATAATTTATATTATTATTTATATATTTTTATATAGGTTCCTGTGCCCATGCCAGAGCTTATGAATATTATGCTGAATCAATTATCCGATCAGCTCATTTCCAATCCAAAAAATGCAGGGATTTACATCAGTTGAAAAATGATTTTTGCACTGACAAGGCTGGCAACTACCTCATGGGTGGAATGGTCAATCAAAAAGAAAGGTAAGTTTTTTAGGTGAATAAAATAACTAATATTAATAATAATAAATAAAGTAAAATTATTGATATTTTTAAGGTTCTCATTCTAATACAATATTGATTCAAGTACCAAATAGTAAGTATATGAGTTTATTATTATTTTCAATATTTACAGGTATTTTGGAATATTTATTTTGCAAACTGCTGAAAAGTCTCCATTCGGTTTGGGTTATCGATGAAATTACCGAGTTCGACAAATTGGACTTCATGATGAATAATAACGTTCTGAATAAATATGAATAAAAACTTAAATATTCTGACATTGTTATATTTTTTATAAAAATAAAATAAATGTCGCCAATGTTTGTAAAGTTATAGCAATAAATATGAAAATAATATTTGTGTGTGTTTTACTAGCATAGTTTATAATAATTCAATTTGACCCTGCATCCAAGAATACTTTCCAATTATTTGAATTTGCATTGCAATATTATTTTCCAAAATTCATTTATATTAATAACAGTTCAATTTTTCAAGCATCTTCTAATAGATAATCGTAAAAATTATAAAATTTTACTATGTTAATAAAATACCATTTAAAAAAATGCTGGCGATTTAAATATTCTTAAAAATGGATAATAATCTCACATTGCAGGTAATTAGGTATTTATATTAAAGTTGATGTCATTAAACTGTAATCATTTCTTCGTTAGTTAATCACTTTAATCCCTTCTGAGTTGATGTCACTTCAAATCTAATGCCTCTTATGCAGAAATGTTTATTTTATTAGCAAACTAACGATTAAAAACACTCTATAATAAGAAAACTATTTGAACTATGCGGAACTGAGTTAAATAATGATGAAAAAATTAAATTAACTGAGGACTCGAGAAAAAATTAACAGTTGTCGATTAAAATTCAATTCAGACTAAAATATATAAAAAAATCTTTCATCGCGCATAATAAAGTAAAATTATACATAAAAATTTGATTAAAATTACAAACTAAAAATAACATAAATATTAAAAAACATTTTTTTTTGCATAAATATTCAAATATAGAAAAGGTTTTTCCATGGATTTTCCCTAAGAACATTTGATAAGATATTTATCTTCTATATATATAAAAATAAGTCGGGTTTTCCTTCCTGACGAAATAACTCCAGAACGCACGAACCGATTTCGACAATTTTGCATTCATTGGAAAGTTCGGGCTCCGCATGGTTTATAGCTAAGAAAATTAGTGGTGCATGGCATCGTGCCCTAATGCAAATTGCTGGAACTTCACGCACCGTAATTAAAAATTCGAGTAATGACATTAGTGAGAATTATCAGAATTATGCTTGGTTAAGTCAACGAGCAATTCTTGCCGCCAAGAAATATGATGTACACGCACTGAATTTCACCATTCAATCAAAAATTGCTGGCGATTTGGTGACATACCAATGATTCCGACTGGTCTTAAGTTTGACTTCAAACGATTGCAACTTCCAGTTCGCCTTGCGTTCGCAATAATAAGTCGCAAGGCCAATCGCTTAGTGTTAGCGGGATAAATTTCAAATAGATTATTTAGAAAATCATTGTTTTTCACATGGGCAGTTATACGTTGCCTGTTCACAAGCTGGAAAACCATCCGATTTGTTTGTGTTAACGTCAGACCAAAAAACAAAAAATGTGGTTTACCAAAGATCACTTCCATGGAACGGATAATTTGCGGATTCACTTTCATTTACTTAGAGAAGTTCAACTAAAAAACACTTCATTTTTGTAATCAAAATAAATTCGTTACTGTTGTATAATAAAATCAAATTATTCCTTTTAAAATATAAAACAAACAAGAAATTTCTTCATCTTTCTCACGAAGCCATCTGGTGGCGAAACGGAGTTCGTCGGGTTTGCTAGTTATATATATAATTAACAATTTATTATTATTTTGACTAAATTTTTACTTCATGGTTCAGTTATTTCTTCAAGAAATTTTAAAAACGAAATATCTTCCAAACAATTTACTCTGGCTGTACATTATAGTAACTATCCATTTTATTCACTTGCTTACATCAAACTATTATTTTTTGTTATTTTCTGTTATTTTCACATCAATCAAATCTAATAAGAATAATTATTGAAAATTGCTCATAAAATTATTTTGTTTTTGCTGGATCACTCACGCAAGAGCTTTCCATCAGTTATTTATTATATCTTAGAAGAATGGAAAATTATAATATAATAGTTTTAATTTAAAATACGTTTTAATTTGATTTATTTATTAAAAATGATATATTAATTTTTAGGTAATTGTAAAATTAAAATATAATTTTTCTAAGGCATGTAATTTGTAAATAAGAAGCTAAATTAATAACTAATTAATATCTTTGTATATTAAATTTTATTTTTTTACGATTTTTATTTTAATATGTTATATGTTTCATATAATTCATCATATCTATTATATATAAGTATAGTAATGTAATGTATAATATTATTCGAATTTTCAAAAATTTACCTAATTTTGTATTTCAAAACTTAACATAAAAAAATATTATTTTATTGTGTTTTTGTTCAAACTTTTTTTTTCAAGTTAAGTTTGTATATTATTAATAAAGTTATCGAATATTAATTGAAAATAATCTTTATTTCAATGAATCGCCACTTCAAATTGAATTACAAATTAGAAACGTGCCAGAATAAATATTTTAAACAATGAAAATTTATTTTTAGCAATATGGTGGAATATTTTTTCATATTTATGTAGGGTATTAATATCATGGTGATAAAATATTAGTCACATAGTTTATTACAAAATAAAATAAAAATATTTATATATAGTGTATTAGACAATTTTTAAAAAATATTAATCTTATTGTACTTCCCAATTTTAAAACATTAGCTAGTAATAAAATCATGAATAATTTGGTGTGAAATATATTAAATATAAAATATGGTAATAAAAAATTTTATATTTAAATTCTGTAATGAAGTCATTAATAGATTATATAAAATACGTTGTTATTTTTAATTGGATTCATTACAAAATATACTTGCACCAAAACGAGTTATTATATATAACGAGCAAGACATTTTTTTTATAATTTATACAATTTTTAATATTTAACTGCTAAAATTAAAGCTATTTAAAAACATTGTATATCATATTAACAATTGTGGAAAAATCAATTTAATCACTATCAGAGGTACTTCTGATCAGGAGATCCTCAGAAAAATATAACTATTATTATTTGAAGTGCTCTTCAAACGTTATCTATTTGTCTTTTTGTTATAAATAAGCATGCAAAACGTTATTTGCATAGTGAACAGTAACTAATTAACAGTTTATATAGTTGACAACGATTTAAAGCAGAATGCATTTGGCCGGAGTCCTTCTTTTGGCTTTTGTCATCGGCATTCAAGGTAGTAAAATGTTTTAATAAAATGACTTTTTATTAATTAAATAGTCTATTTATTATTAATACGTGAAGTGTTATATATACGTAGTAATTTAAAAAAATATATACATTTTTGGGGGAATTCTGATTCATACTAACGAGAAAAAGTTGATGTAAATATTGATGCTTGTGGATGCTGCAAAATATTAGGAGCACGTAATATCAATAATTAAATAAATATAATTATATTTTTAAAAATTAATTAAAAAATTTCTTTATCATATTACTAGTGTGATAATAAATAAAGATATAAAATAAAGAATACGTAAAAATGAATAAATAATATAATTCTTATAATTTGCTTTCTATTCAATACCATATCTTTAATCTAGTATTAGATAGCAATAATTGGCATTTTTTTTTAAGAAACACTCTTTTTGTAATTTTCTTGTATATATGAATACACTAAAGCAAATATTTTTCCGAAAGAATATGACTTAATTTATTATTTTTTTTAGGAAATCCTATTTCTTTTAACGAAGATGACATAAATAATAAAGAGTCCATGTTATTTCCCGATGGAGATGGAAAACTACATCTGATTCATCTCAGGGCAAATCCGAACGAATATGAACCTCTCATAAAATTTGATCCAAACAAACATGTTCATTTTCAACTTTACACAAGGTATTTAAAAATTCAAAAAAATAGTATAATACATATATATATATATATATATATATATACATATATATGTATGTATATAAACAATTGCAAAATTTTTGTAAATAATTTCATGAAACTGCGTCTATGTAAATACATACGTAGATGTAAATAAACGTAAGTACTAAACAATGATTTATGATAATTTATTAAAATTACTTGTAATCCACCACCGTCACTGATAAAGTTATCTTTTATCAAATAATATTTTCTATAATGATTTATTGTTTGTTTTTCCAAGCCTCTAACATTTTGTAGGCTTCTAAATTAATATTAGTCTTCTCCTCACTATGGAGTGAAATAGGTATACTATTTTTTCTAGTTTACAATTTAGCTTATAAAGTATTTAGTATCTTGATTGCTATTAAGGAAATAATATAAATGTTTGGAAATTAAATTGAACCCCATTTTAGGAAAAACCCCAAGAAGCCGCAACTATTAGTTCCAAAAGATTTATCAACAGTCAAGAAATCAAATTTTGATCCTGCAAAGCATACTTTCTTCATTTCTCATGGATGGAAAAATAAATTGAGTAGTCCTGTCAATGAACTGATACGAAAAGGTGAGTATTATACTAATAAATTACTAATAATTAACTTAGTTAATCAACCTTACGAAGTTAAAAAATTCAAAAATGTTGCCATTAGGAAATAAAAATTGTCTGTGTAAATATATGTTTTCCTAAGTGTTAATGTTACCGTTGGATAAATGAATGAAATACTTAACAACAATCAACTAAACTAATGTGATTATTATAATCCCTTATCTAGCCTACCTAGATACCGAAGATGTGAACGTGATAGTGGTTGATTGGGAATATGGAGCCTCCTACAATTACCTGGCTGCCAGAGGTCACGCTGCCACAACTGGGAAACATTTAGGAAAATTCATTAGTTTACTTAAGAAAAACTTTAATGTTTCCCTGAAAAATGTGCGATTGGTTGGACACAGTTTAGGCTCCCACGTCTCAGGATTTGCCGGAAAAACGGTCAAGAAAATCACCGGAAACAAGGTTGCCCAAATTGTAGGTAAGAAGATAAAATTTACGTACAAACAATTACAAGTGATATACTTTAGAGCAAAATTTCAGATTTTTATCATTAATTTTTTTATGATGATTATGTTATTTGTCTACAGGTCTGGATCCAGCTTTACCTTTATATTCCATCAAAGATCCTGAAGGAAGATTGAGCAAAAATGACGCTGAGTACGTTGAAATTATCCACACAAATGGTGGAAAATTAGGTAAGGACTTTTTATATAATAAAATAATTTTTAGCGCATATTTATGTAAAAATTTATAATATTTTGCCAAATACCAAAATTTAATTATCTTATCAATCACCATTAGAATTGTTACATAATACTACAAAAGTCATCTATAAAAATGTATATACAAAACTTATATTCAGCAAGAGGATTAGCACAATATTTTCACAAAATAAAGTTGTATATAATAATATTGTTTTTTTAGGTTTCTGGGATCCTTTAGGTCATGCTGACTTCTACCCTAACTTAGGATATGCTCAACCTGGATGTGGCACAGATATTTCAGGTAATGATTATATAATTTTATGTTTCCTGTTTTTTATTTAATACAAAAAATGAAAATAAGATAAAATCGGAAAAAGTAAGTTTTTCATTTTGAATTTATTATTATCTTTCAAAAATGATAATCTTTATATCTTTGTTGAAATAAAAATTATGTAGTTATGTAATTTTTTATACATAACATTAAAGTAATTATTCATAAATTATCAGTGCGTGTACAAGTTCTAATAATATTCTATGAGTTTATATTTTTTTATGAATTTGGTGAGACATCAAAAAATAATATTTTACTCAAGTTGCAGAAATTGATTTTAATTTTTATTTCAGGATCATGTGCCCATGCAAGGGCCTATAAATATTTTGCAGAATCTATCGAAAGATCGCAATCATTCAGGTCTAAATTATGTTCTTCCATGGAACAACTGAGCAACAATAAGTGTCCTCAAAGCAGCAATTGGTTCTTAATGGGAGGAAAACACTATAAGCCAGTGTAAGTTAAAATTTAATAATTAACACAAAAATAAATCCATAAAAAATATTCTGAAAAATATTGTTAAAAATTTGCGAATTAACATCATTCGATTACGATCATTTTGTTTTCAATTAAAATGAAAATGATTATTATTTTCAGAAAACACGGATTGTTCTACCTAAAAACAAAAGCCGAATACCCATTTGCTTTAGGAGATGCTGGAGTCACTTTATGAAAATGATCGAACTTTAAAAGACAAACATTATATTTTTATTACTTGAAAATAAAATGTTTGCAATTGTATACGTATGTAAATAAATATTACAAATAAAATATTAAGTATATAAAAAATAACAATAATTTTTTATAATATTTTATCCTTGGCATATAGGAAAGTGCAAATCGTTAATCATCATTGATTAAATTCACTTATGCAAAATTATGAAAAATATTCAAATCTCAATAATAATAAAAAATATATTCAGTTATAGCCCCATCGAATTATATAAGTATAGAATATACAGGTACCCACTACTTAAGTATTTACTTATAAAATTTTATTATAGAAATTTTACCAGCTGCTCCACCCTGATAATCAATATCTGCATAATAATAATTTAAAAAACATAATAATAATAATTTAAAAAACAAATAAATATCGCCACTGTATCACCTTGTATCCATTATAATGGTAATGTAGCATAAATACAATAATTATGCATCTGATAATTACTTTAAAAATTCTTAACCCATTTTGATATGAAATCAATAGTATGATTAAAGTGAATTATGTAAGTTTAAGATACACAATAATTCTATTATTATAATATTAATTATGAATTCAAACAAAAACAATCTTACGACAGTGACTTTTAGCATTAGTTATATAAATCTGCTACCCAATTAATCAAAACATAAATCATGAAATAATAAAATGAATTAAATGTTTTTTTTAAAAAAACCTATATGATTATTCAGTATTCAAATTGAATAAATATATATAGAAATAGAAGTGAAAATAAAACAATATTACACAATCAAAATCATAATAGCAGTAAGTGTGCTTATAATTAGTAAAGATATTCCATAACCAAAAATGATTAGGATGGAAAATATTTATGCAGAATAAATTACAAATTATTTACGTAATGATAAAAATATTATCACAATTCTGCAATTTTTTTATTCATTTATATATACATGAAATATTAAAGTAGCAAATGTATCATGATACTAACGGTGTAGTAAACAGAAAAATTGCGTGCTTATGTTATCTTATTAAAAATAAAATCGATTGCGATATTCTATTCATTTTATCGAAAAGTAATTGGACACATATGCACGATTTCGATGTCCATTTTTGCTATTGTACAAATGTTTATAATCAATTTTTGTAGTTATATAAGCGGTATGGATACTGAGAATTTTTAGTACAAGGCACTATCTAAAATATTATTTGTATTTAATACATTATTAACACTTACGGGACGGCACCGATTTCAACTACATAACCGATTTCAAATAACTTCAAATTATTTTCAAAATAGAACACTGTTTATCACTGCTATATGTAATTTATTCAACTTTTCGATGCAAACTGAGTATTTGTTTATAAAATAGCTTTTGTTTATAAAATAGACAGAGTTTGTTTGTCCACTGAGGTGGACAGCCGCCCCCAAAGTGTTAAAATGTATTACATTAATAAATTTGCCGCCAGCCAGATTTTTAAGTTAGATTATAACGACGTGGTCAAATTTTTATTAATATTTCACTTGATGTAACAAAAATTAAATGCAGATACTTGTTATTACTGTCGTTTTTTATAAAAACAATAAAATGAATATTTGATTTATAACTAATGGAATAAACAAATAATTCGCATATAAATTTAATTAGCTACAGCCGATATCATCCTTGGATCACAAAATCATATGTGGTAAATGAACAGAAAAACAATAGGCCATGTTTTTGGGGAATGCTAAATCTATGACATACAAATGCAAATAATGTACAAAAAAATTCAGAAAAAGGTATTGTTATTCCTAATAAATTTGCAAGTATTCAGTGATAATGATGAAATATACAAAATTATTCGCAAATAATGAGATTAATTAATGAATCCATGAAGTTGATAAATATATGTAATGTAACTGGTTAGATGGTCGAAAAATCGCAAGTCAAATAAAATAAAATTTTCAATTAAATTAAACATTTTTCAATTTTCAACGTAACGTTTATTAAATTATCATCATTATCATCAACACAACATATTTAAATATTATTTCCATTACCTTTGAACAGCTTGATGGCTCGTATTTTCTTCAACATCTTCAAACACGTTCCAATAATTGCACAACTGTTCACCAACAGTTTAGAAATAACTGAAAATAAAACAAACACAAAACTGGAAATTCGGTGTCACAATCACAAACTAACCAAGAAAATAGATTCATTCACAATGCGATTCGTTCTATGGGTAATGACTAACAGAGTATGGATGAAATGTGCGGTTTCAAGAAGACATACGGCAGTAGGAACAATATGGTGCCGACCGTCCTGGTGCGGTGCCTATATGTTTCCTGTCGGTGCTGCTAAACGAACCGGAAACGCACGGGTGCATAACGCACGTGTCACGGACGATGAATCCGATGAGCGGCCGCACGATTCCGTATATAGAATGAGTAGGTATCGTACGTTTGTACATCTTAGGGGAAAATGGAAATAAAAAAAAATTGTGGACTTATAATTAAGTGGAATTCCTTAAGAAAAACGTCTGATGCAAGAAGTGCTTAAAATCAAAATTGAGAAGGACCGCGTGTGCCAACCAGAGTGTGGGTTGGTAGACCACAGTAAAAAAATTGTTTGGAGGGCATTGGAAAAAGTGAATATTTTTAACAAAAAAATTGATTTAAATTAAAAGTAATATATAATAATTGAATTAAATTATTCATTCACCACCTTTTTAAAAAAATATAAAAATTAAATAAAATGTGCACTTTTTTTGTTCTTTTTCGGTAAAATCGTTGTTTTTCCCATGCAAACATTTTACACATTTTATATCATTCAAATTTTCAAAGATATGGAATTTTTAACAAAGATCCATAGACTTTTTAACAAAGGTTTGGCCGTTTTATTTTTTTCAAATTTTCAAAGATATCTATCTATCCACGGATTTTTTTAACAAAGTTTTTTAACAAATTTTCAATCTAATTGTAGAACACATGAAAATACGACCATAGCAAATATAACTGAACAAATTTTATAAATTTTTTATATACTAAGTTTGTACATTGTTATTTAGTTTTTTTTTTTTTTTTTTGAATCGTAAATATATATTTTTATTATCTTTTGTTAACTAGTTGTAAGAACATAGTATGTTTTAAGAGCTCTTTTCATACTTATATGAGTTAATTGAAACAAATATATATATGCAAACAATATTATATTATATGATAGTATAATGATATTCCCAGAATAGGTGTATACAATTTGTATCTTTATGTAAAAATCAATGTATGTATTTAAGTCAAATAAGGCAAATTTTCAAATTGAAAAAAAAAAATTAACAAAGTTTTTGCGGTTTTGTATTTATGAAATATTTAAAGATATCTATCCACAGATTTTTTTTAACAAAGTTTTTGCCATTTTATATTATTCAAATTTTCAAAGATCCTATTATGGTATTTTTAACAAAGTTTTTGCCATTTTATATTATTCAAATTTTCAAAGATCCTATTATGGTATTTTTTAACAAAGTTTTGGCCGTTTTATATTATTCAAATTTTCAAAAATATATCCATGTCTTTTTTAACAAAGTTTTGGTCGTTTTATATTATCCAAATTTTCAAAGATATTTATCCATGGTATTTTTAACAAACTTATGGCCGTTTAATTTTATTCAAATTTTCAAAGATATCTATTATCTTATATCACACGCAATATATGTAAAATTATAATTGGCGTAATGATCGCAAGATCCACAGCCATGTAAAATAAATAAAAAAAAATGCATATACGCAAAATTATAAACACTAAACTATATTTTGCTTATATTTACATCATCATTTTCACTGTCAAAGTACAACACTACAAAATGTGTGATGATACAGTTACGTATTCTTAGTCAAACTTGGACATTGTCTGTGATGGAAATCTATTGATAAGATGGGAACGCTCCGTTTTATGACAAAAATTAAATTTTATGTGCGTATAAGCTAGTTTGTTTGAAATACCAAAACAAAGAGCATTATCGTTTTTAAACGCATTAAAATCATTCACACAATTTACTCATCTGTAACCCGATCTTAATGATAATTGCTGAATATATTTTTATATATTCTATAAGTAGTACGAAGGATCCAATTCTCCCCTATGCACATGAAAAATATAATAGGTGCACCTGGCTGATTCACTACAATTTTATTATTGTTATTAGAGGCACGAGACTGCAAGTGCCGTCATTATTGCGACGTTCTATCGAAAACAACTAGTGGGAGTTAGATATCAGATTTCAATTGCGTTTTTTTAGAAAATTATAATAAAGTTAGGTAAAAATCTTATTCAAAACATTTGTAGAATCACTTGTAAATTATTAATTAATTATTATTATATTATTTATAACCGGGAATCTAATCACTGGATTGGCATTCGATTTAGATAAACTACTTACTACCAATTTGCTGATGTTATAATGGTATAGGTGCAGAAGTTAGAAAAGAAAAAAAAATTATATTATTGTAATTAATAGATTATTATATTTTTAATCACTTAATTTTTCAATTGTTATGTTTTCAAAAGTTACTTAAATAAAAAGTAAAATTAAAAGTGAAAAAATTATATCATTATAATTAATAGATTATTATTAACTTAATTTTTGAATTATGGTGTTTTTTAAAAAATTATTAAGAAAAATCTAGAAAAGAGCAAATTAACACATATAATTAATCATAAGAGAATGAAAACGTATACAGCAATAGCCGTAAATAAAAAAATTCATAGACACAACACTAGGTAAAATAAAAAAAATCTAAAAAAAAATGAAAGAATATAGATTATATGGTGCTAACAAGGTATTTAATCAACCCTCACGTGAAATCTGGTTCACTGAAGAAGAGAAGAATAAATTTGAAATTAGGATAAATAAATATGATGATATAATAGTCAGGAACAGAAATTTTTGAAAATGAGCTCTTTAGGGGGCCTAAATTACGTGAGGTTTTTAGAGGGAGGGGGGGTTTGACAAAAAATCACGAAATACCATGCGGGATAGGGTGGGGTATAGTAAGATATCACGTGTAATTATTTTTTAACTATTTCTTTTTTAAAAAAAAAACATTTTCAAAAAAAAAAAAAATCTTACAGTTTTATCACGTAACTAAAAATACACGTGATGTTTGGTGGGGGTGGGGATTAATTTTGAATTTCACCATGTATCACCAAGGGGGAGGGGGTGGGTGCAATTTTTTTTAAAATCTCGCTCACGTGATTAATGGACGCCCCCTTATATATAAATAGTTTAAAAGTTGAACATTTCATGGCAATTTCTTTCCTAAAAACGACATCCTGCAGATGTTAGATATATTGACTGACCTTACTCATGTGTCTATCGTCTGAAAAATTAATTTTAGAAATATGACTTCAACGTAGTCGATCAATTCAAAATAGCTCGTTTGGTTTTATAACATGACCAACTTATTATCTCTTACCTGGTGTGCTACACCGTAATAAGCATGTAATACCTGAGACGGTAAAAATAAATCACCTAATACGTTCTCGAGTATTAAAAAGTTAAGTGGACACGGTCTGCTTGTTAACGGCGAGATGTACGTTTTGTTGCCCGTTGCGGCATCAGCGGTGCGTGCGGACAATATATTCATATGGACGATATTGCAAATTTGATACACAGGATAAAACACCGGACGGATACCCTCTGATTCTTATCAATACGACTACCATTGTGCTTATATGATATATAGATGTATATTTTTCAACAGCTATCAGAACTATGTGTTCTATGAGCTGTGTTTGCCATCGTACATCATCTAGAATTTTCTCTCGAAAGGGCAACCCAGTGGTCAACCACTCTTTTTATGTTCAGACTATTTATATAATACTAATGGGGTGCATGGCATCGTGCCTTACAGCAAATGCGGGAACTTCCTATACTGTAATCAAAAATCTTGGTACGAAACTCAAAAAAATTTACTCAAAATATGTACACATTATTAAAATCTCTATAAAATATCTGATAATTTGATGTACATATGTCCAATGAACATTTTTGACCGCCAAATGACGTTTTTTAAACTTATTTTTATTGATAGTCCATTACCGCTGGACCTGCCTTCCTAAAATTTTAATAAATTCTTCGTCTTGTAAATACAAGTAAAATATGTTTGTTGAATTATTAAAATTGGGCGCTTAGTTTTCTTAAAAACTGAATTACCGTTTTTGGTACTTTTTGCCCCGTATCTTCGGAACGGCTAGACCTGCCTTCGCCAAAAACTAATCAGCACGTCTCCTTATCAATACGAATCGAATGTTCTTTGAATTATTCAAATCGATTGATCGGTGTTCCCAAAATCGTCCGAACACACACACATACATCAATTTTTTCTAAGGTATGCCAAAATGTTCAGAAACCTTTGAAACGTAGAGATATATAAAAATTTTCATTTTCGATTTTTTTGCGATTACTATAACTTACCCTACGAGAAGTTAATAATACTGATATTGCAAAAAAGCTAACAATGTTGATACGAGGATAAGTAAGTAGCAATGTGTTGTATTTCAAATATTAAAGTTCAAGTTCATTCAAAAATTTAAATTTTAAAAATATATACGAAATAAAAGAATTTATAATACTTACACTTCTGCTGGTGGCATTTGAACAATAGCAGCAATAAGAGGAGCACAATGTCCTTCACGCAGAACAATTACTCTGATACTGTAAGAATTATCATCATATTCCTCCGAAAGTTGTTCTGGATTATCTGGTTGTACAGCACGAATATGGGTTTCCAAATGATAGTTCACACCAGGCACAAGAAGAGGAATCTGGATAAAAGAAATATTACTTTTAAACAGATTTTCTAACTAAGAACTTTGATGATAAAATTGTTTTTAAACAAACCTTCATATAAGAATCCTTAGCTATGTACAAATTATGATCGCAATGTATGAGAATAAATAAATCAGTGATTCTTGTCAGTTGAGACATGTTTTCCAATTGGAGTGCCAGGCGAAAAGTGGGTCCTAAACCAAGAACCTGAAAATTATAATATATAAAATTCAGCAAACCTGTTGATATTACTTAGATTATTGTAGTAAATGATAAAATTACTTTTAAATATTTAATAAATAAATAGCAAAAAAATGGTATCGTTTGCATATTTATGTCCTAGATCTTTCATTGCTCTAATGCAAGATTGATACGAGCTTGTTATAAAATTCAAAATATGTTAAATATGTATTAATTAAATTCGAAATGTATCTATTATCTACCTGAGCTGCAAGTTTGACTGGAGCAGCATTGGCTAGAGCAACAGAAGTGTCTGCTGACTGCAAAGTATCAACAGTGGTTCGAGCTACATTAAGACGCATTCGCCAAAGTTCTTGTTGGAAAATCTGATGCATTTCTAAAAACAAAAATTTAAATGATTATTGTTGTCATACTTTGTTTACAAAACTCACCTATTGCTTGTTCTCTTTCTCTGATGCTATGTTCTACAAAAAGCTTAGTTTTCTTTGGCAGCTGAAGTGGAGGTGCCTGAGAATTTATGGATTCCATTGACGCTGATTTTGTGACAGCAAATCTAGCTGTTCTTTTTAAAATTTTCATGATCAAAGAGCCATCTGTAAATTATTTTATTGTATTGTAATATAAAAATTATTTATCAATACTATTTATAACTGAATCATAATTTTTGATGATATAGAATATTTTACCATTTGTGGAAATTATGAGTACATGTTCCTCCTGACCGAGACTTCCAAAAGTAACAGCCGATACGGTATCTGCAATAAAATTTAATCAAATTAAAATAGCTCCAAGCATGCAATAAAAGGCAATTAATTAAATTCCAACCTGTAATGTTAAATATGTCCACCAAATGCCTGCCTTTATAGCAATGAATTTCACCTCCTAGCATAGAAACAATTGCCAAAGACATTCCCAAATGAGGGAGGACAGCTTGGCAGAAAGCAGTAGGAGCAGCCGGCAACGTGACCGTCCACATGCGTCTACCCTGCACAAAAAAAGATTAAAGGTTCCTAAAGAGATAGTATTTTAAATTTACGAAATCATGAAAAATATTGATTTAAAAACAATAAAGAAAACCCACTTGGAATGATTTTAGAATTAGATTAATTTTCTATTATTTTTATTACCTTTCTAGAATAACAAGATATTGTTTTATCCATTAATACAAGTATTGCAGATTGATCTTGTGCATTAATTTCTAAACCAACAATTGGCACATCAAGACGAATGAGAGTGCGGCCTTCTAACCAGCCTTTGCGCAAAACACAGACCGTCTTCTCCCTGGTTTGTAAATAATTTATATATATATATATATATATATATATATATACATATATATATTATATTTTTCTGTATACCTGCAAGCTACCAAGCACCGATATTCCACATCGTAAGATCCTATCATCGACATCAAAGTAGGAGTATATTTTGAAGAACTTATACGAGCCTAAAAAAACAACGGTTTTCAATATTATTAAATTATTTCAATAGTATTAAAATTAATTTTTTTTATTTTAACTTGGTGTATTATAGTGAACGCTTGTGAATCGAGTATCATAAGTTCCCCGTGCTGAGTGACCAGACTCAGGCAATCAGCAGCACGTTCTTTTGCAGCATTTCTGCTCAAGGGGGCCATACACATAACCGCGCTACGACGTACAGAGTCTTCCTGAAGATGCTTTGCTATAAAATCCTAATGAAGTAATAATTAAAATAACTACTTCACTAAATTGATATTTATTGCGATCACTAAACTATGAAACATTGTCCATGAAATTACGAACCGGTCTGTTTTCCTCGGACAGTGCCAGTAAATTCTGAGTTCTAATAGTTAATTCAGAAAATGGAACTTCTCTTAATGATTCCAAAAATGCGAAAACATCGGATTCACCAGCTTCAAACTGTATATAAATAAATAAAAATATATTTCAGAATGATAAATAAAGTTGTGTAATACTCACTTTTCGCCATATTTCAATTTCCAAAGGTAAAACCTCCAAAGGAGGTAAGGTAAACTTAAAGTAAGGTTTGAAATTGCGATATAATAGGATGTCACATCCACAAGATACTGCTATAGCTGCAAATACAAATATAATTCAAGAAAAAATAAATAAATTTCTTTAAGTATTCTTGTAAATAATTACCTTCGGCATCAGAATCTTCTAAATGTAATTTTACTATAGCAGAAGGAATTCCTGGTAAAACAGTTTCTTGAATTTGAGTGCGGCCTTTAAATGCCTATAAAAAATAATTTATTTAAAAAACATAAATAAAAAAATTTAAGTATTATTGAACAGTTTCGAAACTATACAAGATTATACAGTACATTCCATGCAAGATTATGTAGTATATATTAAAAGAAAAATAACTAAAAAAATTAATTTTTAGTACTAATACAGAAATTTTATAAAATTGATTTGCATTTTTAATAAGACAAGTGTTTAATAAAACATAAGCTTATTTGATCATTTTTTCCCCACTTACTCTAAGTTTGACTTTGCTGGTTCCAATATAAGAGTCAACGTGAGCAGCCACCAATTTATTGTCACCATCTCCTATAAGATCTGCAAGAACCATGCAGGATGCAGGTGAGTGCAGACTTGATCTTTCATCCCTTGGGACTTCCAACCAACTGGATGACATACTGAACTTTTGTTTTATTATTTAACAAGAGCACTAGAATTGTACTAGCACCAGCACCAGAACCGAACCAATATTTAGAGTATTTTATAATTTGTTTTAATGATACCAAATATATTAATTAAACCTTTTCTCTCGTGGTTATTTCAAACTTACATGCATGATTATAAAGTTTTTGTACTTGTGTTGTTCATACTTGTAGATTTAACACAACAGATACATTTATATTATATATAATTAAAATTATAGAATTACCATCAAACATGGTATTATATGTTTACACATTTTCTGATATACCTTAATTATTTGCCAGCGTCTCCATGGCACGACTTTGTTTGACAACAAAACACCCACACCCACAATCGATTTTTCCGCGCTGTTCGTAATAAAATATATTTTATTATATATATATACTATTTTGATTGATCACTATTTATGTTTATTTATTTATGTTGACCACTACAAATTTGTAATATTTAAAATTAATTAATCAGTCTTATCTCATCCAGCATTATAAACTCAATAAATTTATTACTCTAAATTCTCTAACTCTCGTAGCCTTTTTTCCAATTGATCCTTATCCAATCGGTGTTTGCATAAATATTGGCCTTCCAGAAACAGGACTGGAATTTCGTATCGATATAATCGCAACCACCTCAAATTTTCTTTGTGGGCGATATCGACTTCTACCAAATTGTATCGTCCTTTAAAATATTCTTCCAGTTCGTACTTGAGGTCATCGCACATTGGACAAGGATGTCTGGTGTACAATGTTAATGTTGGTGGCCGGGATATTGGCGAATGATTTCTGCAATAATAACGTATAATATTAATTTGATACTATTAGTTTAGGATAATACAGGAGAAGTTTAATGAAAAATAATTATTTTTATAGAAAGAAATTAAAATAAAACATCAATCTTAGGACACAGTAATTGCAAAGGCGATTTTATTAAGTTTAGTAAATAGATTCAATCACACAAAGTCTAAAAATCTGATATATAAAACATAAATTTTCTAACTCAAACTGTGAAAAAATGCAGGGATAAAACAAACAGTTTGATTTTTTTAGTATTATGACCAAAAGTTATTTAAATTTAAATTGTAATGATAAAGATGGTTCAATTTTAATATGATGAAGATGAGAATGATTGGAAATCACAACAAAAAAAACTACTCATAACAATTTATTTACATCTTATATCTTATATAAAATCTTATAACAAAAATTTCAACATGTATAAAAACTAGATTGGCAGAGCTTGGCATTATCAAATTATTAAATTTATCACTGAATTTTTACAGAAATCTTTACTTCAAGATAAAATATTATTTATCTCAAAGATTAATTAAGCATTATTAGATTACACTTACAAAGTTATACTATAAGTGTAAAATATGTTTTGTTTGCTTCAATATTTTACGAGTAGATATTTTAAATAAGTAATTAATGATTTATTGCACACATCTGTAAATTTAATGAAAATATTTACAATTTTTGCAACAGAATAGTTGATGCGCCACCTCCACCATTACAAATTCCGGCAACTCCAAATTGACCAGGTTTCAAATTGTGTACTAAATGAACTGCAATTCTATTACCAGACATTCCAATTGGATGTCCTAAACTAACAGCACCTCCATGTACATTGACTTTTGCTGGATCGACATCTAACATTTTCTGGTTAGCTAATACTACTACACTGAAAGCTTCATTGATCTCCCAGAGTGCAACATCATTTTTGTTTACACCAAATCTTTCCAATAACTTTCGAATGGCTAAAGCAGGTGCAATTGGAAAATCAATTGGATCGGTTTCAGCATCTTGAAAACCAACAATCTTTGCTAGAGGCTTGACATTTAAACGTTTCAATTCATCCTCAGTCATTAAAACCATGGCAGCAGCACCATCATTTAAAGTTGAAGCATTACCTGCTGTAACAGTGCCACCTTCTTTTTGAAAAACTGTAGCTAAATTTCCAAATTTGTCGAAGTTGACTCTTTTATATTCCTCATCAGTTGCTACTACCAGGTCTGGTTTTCCCTTCCTTTGAGGAACTTTAACAGGAACTATTTCAGCATCAAAAACTTTAGCATCCCAAGCCGCTGCACTACGTTTATAACTTTGAATTGCATATTCGTCTTGAGCTTTGCGATCAATACCTAATTTCTTTGCTGTATTCTCAGCACAGTTTCCCATGTGAAATTTATTATAAACATCAGTAAGTCCATCAGACACAATACCATCCTGCATTTTCACACCGCCATAAGGGGTATCACCTCTATTCATATAGTAAGGAACATTCGACATAGATTCCATACCACCTAAAATGCATAAGATATAAACAAATAAAATAGCTACTAATGAACTACTTATGATATATATATTAACTATTATAATTACCAGCAATAGCAACAGTTTGATGCCCACACATTAAACCTTGCGAAGCCAACATGATTGACTTCATTCCAGAGGAACATACTTTATTCACAGTTGTGCATATTGTTGATTGTGGTAAACCAGCAAAAATTGTTGCTTGTCTTGCAGGTGCTTGACCCAAACCTGCAGAACAAACATTTCCCATATAAACCTAAAAAAATCAAATTGATACTAGAAATACAAACTGCGCCTAATAGATAATGAACATATTTGAATACCATTATAAAATAAGTAAAGAACTTTGATGTAATTTATTTTACATTTGAGGCTGTTGAATTATCCATGTGTTCCTTAACTTACTTCTTTAATATCTTCTTTAGCAACACCGGCTCTTTCAACTGCACTTTCAATGGCAACAGCTCCTAGTTGTGTAGCCGATAAAGATGACAACGTTCCTCTGAAAGATCCAATTGGAGTCCTAGTCGCAGAAACGATAAAAACTTCGTTCAACTGCGGCTTAGTACTAGCATTGCGAATGTATTGCAAAGCAACCTATAATAATGTGCAATAATATATTTATATTAAATTTTAATAAAGATACTTTAATTCTAATAAAGAACAATACATAACCCTGCGGTCATTTGATAATGTATTTATGTTAGTTAAGCATTAGTAAAAATTATGTCAATATTTACCTTAGGATGAGCAAGTTTAGAAAACATTTTCAATGAGATTATATTTATTCAGAAAATTAATATAAAAATCGCTGCAGTAACTCAAATCCAACTGTTTTCACTATAACTGACCGCTAATTGACCTTACAAAACATTAATGTCATTTAAATGTAAATTTTGAAACACGTGACCAAAAGTTCTCAATCAGTAAAGTAACTATCTTACGAATAAACACTTTTGGCTCATTGGAATAAGAAAACATTTATGAGTAAGCCATTTTATGCTTAAAGAACTCCTGCTCCTGAGTTAGGAGATATTTACGTATTTAATATATAAGAACATATTTAGAGAATGTATATTAAATTAGTAGTTAAAAATATAATATAAAATGTTTGGTATCACTGAACATGGAAACTTTTATTCGCCCAGCCATAGATAAATAAGCATAAATCATTAGTATAATTTAGAGCGCGAAATTCAAACGGCAAAAACTTTGTCATATGAAGCGCCTTTTCAGTTGTAATACAACAAAAATAAAAATATTTTTGATTGAGGACAACAATTATATCGATATACACAATTATATAATATTCCATACATACTATTACTTATAATCATTAAAATAATATAAAGCACTTTCATACAAATACAAATAATAGGAGTAATATCACTTTTTCAAGAAAAAATCTACCAGGCAGCACAAATCCAGCCTTATCACTGTGGATATTCAAGAAAGTATATACAAAATATTTTTGACAAACTTTGATAAATATCTTATATTTAGTAATGAACTTAATTATTGAATCATCTTTTAAAATCCATTTATAGTTATTTGTGAGTTGTAGATGCTTGTAGATATCATCTTCATTTGTTATTAATGAGTTTCATTGCAGGTTGTTTAAAAACTTTATGATTCAGTTATATATTTGGCAATTGAAGTTGATAATAATAACAAAAACACATTAGTTTAAGAACTTTATATTTAATTTTTTATAAATAAATTTATGCTACATTTCCTGAACTATTTTGCAATTAAATTTACAATTTACTCTGGCTTATTCTCTTGTAAAGAAGGTTCTGACAATTGTTGTTTTTTAAACATTTCAATTAATTGTTCAGTTGCTGTTGGTTGAAGTTCTAACGGAGTAGAAAGTTTTTCATTTGGAAATACAGTCTGATTTAATTCTGGATTACGAAGAGTAAATGGTGTCCATGGTCCTTGTATTGAAGGATAATCAGTATGCCATCTTTTTCTATATCGTAAAGCTTGAGAGTTACCATTTTGTGATTTCAATAAGTTGATCCACTTTATTATTTCATCTCTATTATAATCCTTACAAGACACCCATTGCCTATCTCCATTCAAATATTCAGCAGTCATTACCGCTGATCGATGTCTTCTAGGTTTTAAATAAACAACAATTCCTGGATTGTTCTTTGCGAAATCGACTAAGTCACTCTCTATAAAATCCCTCATACCTCTACTATTGCCATGGCTTTTACAAAATTTGAGTGTAAGTCGTTGTAGTTGACAAACATAACGGCCAACCCCATTCTGCAAAGGAGCTCGAGGAAAGCCAGACTTCAAAAATAAATGGGAATTAGACATTTTTCTTATTCAACATAAAGAATAGAATTAAATAACGCAACAATTAAATTTGAGGTTACGTTTAAGACAAGACAAATCAAATACTGACAGCTGATAAACAAAGAGATTTATAGTTGGGACTCCTGACTTAGAAGAGTCAATATGCTTAGCAAGAGCATAGAGAGAATAACTGACATTAAATTTAAAATTTTAATGTAAATTGAATTTGCACCAAACTCAAATTTTATGGAAAAATCTATGGTTAATTGGCACATTTCTGCGTTCTCTGAATTGGCCTAACCTGATGAATATATTATATTCATTATATTATTGTCTAGTGCCTTGTTCACTGTTTACTTCTAAAGCTTCTGCTTCCATACATACATTCATAGATAAACAAGTATAACATTTATTCTTGTTTTGTCCTGTTATTATCAAATTCCAGTAGTTTCTCTTCTTGCATGATGTAAGAAGAAATGCTTCTATCATCAGCTCCTTCATTCTTGTACATTCAGTTTTATTTTCCTTACATTGATGTTATGCAGAGCTCTATTTCGACAATCATATCCATTATATCTGTTTCCACAATACTATTCTTTGAGTTCTGCTTTATTTGTTGCTTCATCACTCCATTTTATCTATATATATACATAAAGTATAACATTTGACTGAAATCAATTTTAAACTTAATTATTTTTTATTTGTAAAATGTACAAACATATTTCTTATTAAACAATATAACAATCATTCATTCTTTTTCATGTGTTCTTTCATGTCTCGACCTGTGATGATGATGGTGTCGATGATGATGATGATCATGAGATTTTTCTGCATTACTTTCATGCTCTTTTTCATATCCCTCCTCCTCATATTCTTTCCTCTTCTTAGATTTTTTTGAATGCTTTTTACTTGATTCTTTTGCTGAACTAGAAGCCTCTCTTTCTTTCTTATGTTTCCTTGATTTTGATTTGTCTTTACTTTTTTTGCTTTTAGAATGCTTTTTGGACTTTTCTCTTTTACTTCCTGATGCAGAGCTAGAAGAAGTGCTTGAACTTGTACTACTATCAGAATCACTACTCGAACTCGAACTCGATGAACTGGAGGAACTTGAACTATCTGAACTTGATGAAGAAGACTTATGATGCAATGTAGGTACTTGAGGAGGCGGCGCCTTCAAAAAGGGATAATTTAATTAGACTATTATTTATACAGAACAATCATAATTGATTAGACTATGCATTTAAGTATATTTATAAAATCGGCAAATGAAGTGCGAAAAACTTATGCGCGTTAGTATATTTATGTACAATTAAAAGAATACCATAAAGTCTGCGTAGGTAGCCTTTCAAAATAATTTCGGTTTACTTGTTTTTGCGAATATTCACGTTCGAAAAATACGTGGAAACGTCAAATATTCAACACGAAAATTAAGGTTATCTCCACTTACTATTTTACCAATGACTATTATTATAATTAAGAAAATTATTGTGTGAAATAATTTAATTGTAAAAGATCTCTGCGCTTTTCAAACAATCCTTTTTAATATCACTATTTTTGTTAAATAACAATGACAATTTGTTTTCATTACAAATGGCAAAGATGTAGATTTTTGTAGATCAGATTGATTTATTAAACTTTATTACCATCTACTAGCTATCTAAACATGTTTTTCCATAAAAATTAAGATTTAATGAAGATTTATCAAGTATTATTGTGTTAACAACAAAAAGTTATTATTATAGTAAAGATTTAATTAATATTTTCATTAAAATGCGCAACATAGCAATCAAAATTCAGCCACAATAAAATTATAAATATTGAGTCAAATTAAGTTTCTAATATATTCAAAATATTCAAAAATTACAAAATAACCAACCTTTGATAGAACTTTCAAATGCTCTCGAAGATCATCAGTTAAACCTCCTAATCCAATAGAAGTGAAGAAATTTATGGCAAATCTAGTATCTCGTGGATTATTTCTTGGAAATAGTCCAGCAAATGCTTCTTGTAGAGTTCTAAAAGTATAAAGTGATAATTTTATAGTTGACTGTAATTTTTCTAATAAAACAATAATAAGCGAATAAATCAAATATGGATATTCTATTCTATTAGATAACTATCATTATTATTCGTTTCAAGTATATAAGTTTTATTTCAACTTACATATCTTTCAGTCTTTCATTCAGTTTTGCCAAACCCAAATATTCTACCAGCTCTTGAAATAAAATTTTTATAAATATCCTGCTAGAGCTTGTGGTGTCATCTTCATTCAGTTTTACTGCCTCTAATACTTCCCAACTAATTGCATCAGTGAATAATAAATGTGCAAAAAATTTACCAACATTTCTCAGACGATTTGTATCCAAACGATGTGTAGTTCCATAAGTATCAGCAAATATTTGCTCGAACAGAGTGACATAAATTTTATTCAGCATACAAAATCTATAATAGAAATTTTACATAAATTACACTACCCTAGTATTATATTGACAAAATGTATGTTGTAATGAGCTTACCTCTGTGCTAAAAGTCCATAAAATTTTTCATAAGTTCTCTGTTCTGCACAACAATCTAAAAACATGTGACATAATTCAGGTTCTTGATTTTTCTTCAATTGCATTTTCATCAATTTATGAGCACATTCCTCATAATCTAAACTAGAATGTATAGTCAGGTATATAGTTCTACGAAGTGCAACAAGATTTGTCTCTGTATTGTCAACAATTGTTTGAGATTTCTCTTCATTTTCTTCACCTTCAGAAGAAGAAGAATCACTTCCATCATCTGAGCCATCTGAATCCTCATCATCTGCATCACTGTCCAATATTTCCTTCATAAGACTTTTATACTTTGCCTCATTTTCTTCAAATTCTGGATCAGCTTTAAAAACATCTGTAAAATAATAGATAGTGTAAATTATTATGAATTTATTGTCTTTGGCAGGTAAAATATATGCACAAAACTGCAGAACTAAATATTATATATGATTATAAATAAAAAAAAATCTATTTTATAACTCACTCAAGATGTCCTGTGAATCCATTACCTCATCTAGAGTTAGAAGATGAGTAATTTGATCTTCATCTTCTACTAGTTCCAACTCCTCAATTATAGCAGGATTATCTTTGAAACCATCCTTACGCATTTGAAACATTACTTCTATCATGTATTGTACTCTTTTCTCCAAATGACCTTCGTGAAGAATATTTCTTAACAAATCAAATATAGCATTCAATCCTTTTGAAGATACCTAAAAATATTTAATATTGGGATAGTTAATATCTAATTATCCAAAAATATCAATTTTAGATCATACAAGATAATTTGATATAAATTACTTACCTCGGTCAATTTTTGTCCGGATTGTTTCAAAAATTCAATTGCCACTTCAATTGAATCATTTGTCGATGATTCAATCAACAAGCTCAAAATTTCCAAACCAATAATTTCATGAGCTACTTTTTGATTAACTAAATGAGCTATAAAAGTTACAGAAGAAATGCAATTCGGTTTATTATTCCTTCTGAAACTATTCTTGAATTGTTTTATAAGTCTCTTCAATAACAGTTCTCCAATTGATGGAAATTTACAATTGATAACGGATACTAAGGCTGCATATACATTTGTAAATGTTGGAGAAGCAGCCTGTGCTTGCATCAAAGACCTGCATAACAAACCTCGAGCCCTGATGATATTTTCTTTAAACATTTCTCTAGTAATTATTGCAATATTGCCTGTATTGACTTTATTGATAAATCCATGAATAGATTTTTTTAAAGCCTCCCAAGAAATACGCTGATATGCAATTGATGACTTATCAGTAATTTCTTCTTGCATCATTCTTAGCCTTGCCGGAGGTATATAAGCACCACCAGTTCTTGTTGTGAGTAGATCCATATTTTTCTTTTTTGTTTTTTTTTCTGCTTCAGGCTCATTTTGATCATCTTTCTTATTGTCTGTTGTATTTTCCCCATAATAACGTTTTCCCACATTTTCATCTCTAGGATATTTGTTCCAATATTGGCTTTTTTCTTTGGCATCATCCCCTTTCTTCATGTCCCAATATCTACTTTGAGGTGGATCTTGAGAACTATCTCTCGATCTATGATTTCTTGAATAAGAGGATTTAGGAGATCTTGGTGATCGTCGCCTTCGATCCTGTGATCTTGACCTCCTTCTTCTGGGAGGTGATTTATGCTGCTTATTTCTGCTAGGTGAATCATTATTTTTTTTGTCTGGATCTTCATCTAGCGCTTCATTCCTACTTCTTTCTTTATTTTCACTATAATTCCTTTTCCTGTCTTGATTTTCTTGATCTTGATCTGTTGATTCATCTCTTCTTTTGCTTCTATTATCATCAGACGAATTGCTTCTGTTGCCTTTGTTCTTATCAGATAATTTATTTCTGTTTTCATTTGGAGATTTATTTCTATTATTATTAGGTGATCGTTTTCTTTTGTCACCGGGTGATCTACTTCTTCTTACTTTTGATGACCTGTCTCTCCTATGATCTCTATCTTGTGATCTATCTCTTCTGTGATATCTACTTTCATTTGGAGACCTATTTCTTCTACGGTCAGACCTGTGCGAGTCTCGTGCATCATCTTTATCTGATTTTAATCGTTTGTGATCCTTTTCACGATCAGAGGAATTCAATCTTTTGTCATCTTCATTTTCTGAGTGTTCGCGCTTTGCAGTTTCAGAATGAATTACCATTCTGACGTAAGAAATAATTTGTTTAATGGATTCAGATGGTTCACAATTCACTAAACTACTTAGTTATTAATAAAACTAACCACACATTTCGAATGTAAAAGATAAAATTAATTATAAAAATGATAAAATACAGTAATTTACAGTATCTTTACTTAAAAGAAAACTGTAATCATTTGTACTTTAAAAATAAAAATGGACTTAGATCAATATTACTATAACAAAAAGCAAATTTCACTTTAAATGTTTCAAAGTTTTGGCATTTGGCATTTACTCAAATAATAACCCACTTTGATTGATGGCGTTTTAGGTCAGCCAACAGTGTTGCCAGCAATGAATTAATTTAAACAACTTCAGACCTAATTTAAAAATTAGTTAACAACTTCAGGCCGAAAGAAGCAAGACAGAGAAACTGAAAGTATTTTAAACTTTTCAAACAAATAAACTACAGTTTATTTTTCTGTAGCTAGGAAGTATTATATTTTCTAATTATTTATATGTATTAAATTAAATATATGCAACAGTAATTCAATGGATTCAAGGTAATAGTTAAATGCAGGTATTTATTAACATAAAATGGAATTCTTCATTTTATGAAGTTGTATTATAAAAATAATATTTACAACTATAATAATATAATTGAAATTTTACCCTGCTTTTGCATTATCAAAATAAAATATATACTTATTCCTACTATTTAAATGATCACAAGTCTTAATGCTATAATATTAAATTCTACTCAATTTTTTGTTTTGTCAAAATAAAATATATTCATATATATATATATATATATACATTATAATATATGATCTATTATTCTTATGCTTCAAATGATCACATGTCTTACTTTGACCACAATAGTTTTATGACAAATAAGTTCTTACAGTACTAAACACACGTCCTCTGCACAGCGGACAATGGTCTAACCCTACAGCACATCGTTGACATGATACTAAAATAGATAAAAAAAAATTATTTTTAAAGTTTTCAAATTATCAAACATATAAGTAATATCATATTATTACATACAAAGATGGCCACAAGGTACAAATGCAATAGCAATATCTTCATCTAAGCAAATTTTACATAATTTAGATTCTCTCAGATCCCTAATTTCAGCTTCTAGTTTGCTCACATTAGAGCTATTATTTTGCTGAAATTGTAAAAAAGATTGAATTAAATTTTCTGAATACTGAGGACATGTTAAAAATTAATTTGGTGAATTCAAAAATATTTTAACAGAAAGAGTTATTTAATGAAATTGCACAATATAGATCCTAATAATTTTGATACTTACAAAATGTTGTACACACATCTTAACAAAAAATTCTGATGTGAGAGATATAATGAATTTGCAAGTTGGTGAGGAACGTGCATGTTCAACAAGAGGATTATCAGTTTTTAACCAATGCCTCAGACCTATGTCGCAGTAGTAACATCTTACCTGAAAGATAAAATTAACTACTTAAAAGTATATAGAAAAACTTTTAAGAATTGGTAAGTTAAATTACAAAATCTTCCTCATTAGTAAAATATAAGCCAGCAAAACTCAGAGATTTTGGATCTGGACTTTCATGAGGCCAGTCAGTAAAGGTATTGAAACGTTTTTGAAACTCTCTGAGGTCTTCTTCAAAAGCATCTGGACTTTTATCTATTGAAAACTCATCCTCTGAAATTAAAAAATTCTTCTGTGTCATTGAGCATTCTGGTTTGCATAAACTATGCTCAGTTATAGGATTCAAACTGCCAATCCAATCTTTAAGACCAAAAGAACAGTTGGAACAAACAATACTGTCTTTACATCCCAATGCATAAAATCCATTAATGGATAAATGGTACATCTGAACTGAAAGGAACTGTTAACAAGTATAAGTTACTTAAGTATAAATTGATAATCAGATATTAAATACACAAACAAACACTAACAATACCATCGCTCAAAAAACTTCTTAGTCTATTTATTCCATCATTCATAATAATTTTATTTGATGTATTATTTAGTAAATTTTCTGCTTCTTCAGAACTATCCTTATTCAAAGATTTCTGAATTCTGGGATTATATGGTATATTTCCTGAATTCAATGGGTCTACTACAAATGAACAATCTGGATTTAACTTTCTATGTTTCAACATTACCTAAAATATAATTAATTTTTGAAAATGGTTAACATTTGAATCATAATTCATTCTCATGCAAACTCTGAATAACATAACTTTTGAATGTAATTTCTATAGCTTTACCTGATCTGCATAGGACCAAGATTTAATTACTTTATTGCAAAAGTGGCATTGTACTTCCAAAAAGCAGCCTGTATAAAAAAATCCGGCTTTGGCAATTTTGGAAGAAGATACTGGTGCATTTTTTGGCCAATTAAAAAAGTTTTCAAACGGTTTTCTTCAGAATTCATATAGTTGCGACTGCGACCGGTTACAAGGTTCAAAGAAATGCGCAATTCATAATATTTACACATTTATAAAAAATGGACACTAAAAAATCTTTCGTCATCAAATATATATTTTATTCATAATTGTAGTATTTCATATTTTGTATTAGTTCGAAATTACAATGATCAGTAAATGTCACTCTGTTTTGCTTTTGAACATTTGTCGAAGATGGTGGAATCATGGACTATATATTCGTAATCATGATCATGATTATGTTTGTGTGATAAAAATCTGGAAGTTTTTTTTATTGGTTTGTAATTAAATTGCAATAAAATCAATAATATGAATTGAATTTAAAAAAAATTATAATTATAATAATGAATCACTTTCAACATTATAAAAATATTTTATAACCATACAAAACAAATGTATGCATTAATTTAATCATATTTGTACTTGCTCATAAAACCCCCTTCATTGATATTGTTTGCCCTTAAAAATCAATTTTCTCTTAATTTGAAATTGTTTAATAAAAAGCAAAAGCATTTCAAATTTTGCTTTATTATAAAAATAGCCATATCCATGTTTATTACGTACTCAAATTTTAATGCATTTGTTGTCATGCTTAAAGCCGATGCACCAGTGAGCTTTAAGTTAATTCATTGAACAAATATTAGACCTCAAAGAATTGTTATTTATAAGTGTTATATATCTTCTATTTTAAATGTTTCTATTTTTGTTAATATTTTAGTTATGTAAGTATTTACTTGTTATTTTTTATAAAGCGTTTGAGAGAATTGTACAATTTAAAGCATACCATTTATTTTTATTTCAGTTACAAGAGACAACAAAGAGTACAGCAAAATGATATATTTCAATATATGTTTTTTAATTATAACCAACATTTGTGTCCTGGTTATTTCGGGACCAGCATCTACAGGCTCCCACAGCCATTCAATAAATAAAGAAAGAGTTAGTGATGGTGCTTATATTCCTAGAGATGCACATCATATAGAAAATGGTGAACATCATACAGAATTTGATCATGAAGCTATATTAGGTAAATAATGGATATATTTTAAGTAGACCATTATATTAATATTTTTACCGAAGCTCCAAAGTCGTAGAAATAAATTTATTTCTACTTGGAACTTTGTGTATGAAGCATCTATAAATTTAGTTAATATTTTTAGGGAGTACTAAAGAAGCTGAGGAATTTGACCACCTTAGTCCAGAAGAATCTAAAAAACGATTAGCTATATTGCTTAAGAAAATGGATTTAAATGGCGATTCACATATACAAAGACATGAACTGAAAGCTTGGATTCTGCGGTCATTCAAGTAGGTTCCAAGTAATTTATACAAGTTTTAAGTACTTTCTACAAGAATTGTGCATTAATAAAAAATGTAATTAATTTACCAAAATAAGCAAATTCATAGAATATTTTCATAACAGGAATCTCTCAGAAGAAGAAGCAGCTGATCGTTTTGAAGATTCAGATTTAAATGGCGATAATATAGTCACCTGGGCAGAATATGTTAGTGACACATATAACATGGGTGATGAAGAATATTTATCAAAAGATTCAGTAATGGAAGAACATAAGGTAATATATAAATTAATGTATATGTATATGCATGTATATATAGGGCAATAATTTTATATCAAATTTAGCTAATGGCTGATGATAAAGTGATGTTTGACGCCGCTGATGCAAATAAGGATGGAAAGCTTGATCCAAATGAATTCATAGTTTTCAACAATCCTGAAGAGCATCCACAAATGTTGCCCATTATTTTGCAGCAAACGCTAAACGAAAAGGATACAAATAAAGATAATGTGATAGATTTTCAAGAATTCATTGGAGATAAAGGTTTGTAGTTTTTAGATATTATTAATCTTTATTACATTTAAAATATTTCAATAATAATTTTCTATTTCAGCTATTCACCATGATAAAGAATGGCTTATAGTGGAAAAAGAGAAATTTGACAAAGAATATGATAAGAATGGTGATGGAGTATTATCAGGAAATGAAGTATTATCATGGGTTGTTCCAAGCAATGAGTATGACTTAATTTATTTAATAATTCATTATAAAATTATTTCTGACATACCATATTATTTGCAGTGAAATTGCCTTAGAAGAAGTGGACCATTTATTTGCTAGTACAGATGATGACCATGACGATGTATTATCTTTTGAAGAAATTTTAATACACTATGAACATTTTGTTGGAAGCGAAGCTACAGATTTTGGTGAACATTTACACAATGTTCATATGTCTGATGAATTATAATTTAAAAAGATAGATAAATTTTGCTTTTATAATAATCCTAGCTCTTTTTCATGCCATTGCTATGTCTTGTCTTAGTTTTAATGTTCTTTTTGCCAATGTTTAGTACAAATATTTATGTTATACAACATAATTTAATTGAACAAAGTATTATGACAACAATGTTTTTATTGTTATATTCTATATGGATAGTATTTCTGTAAGTTATTTATTTTATGTGCCAAATACTCTGTATTTAATTTTTAAAAATAATAAATTATTTGTTTTATAAGTTATATTTATATTCAAAAATAAAACATGTCAACATTTCATATATATTACACAACATTATAAACGTTAAAAATGTATTTCAATTAATTTCTATACTTGAAACAGCTTGCAGGTATTTTTCATTTGTTTCTATCTTATTAAATGCAGTTAAATATTCTTGTCGTTTTGAAAGTAAATTTACTAGATCTAATTTATACTTTATAGCCAAATCCAAAGCTCTAAAAATATACAAAAAATATTCTCATCAGTATTTTGGAAGTTAGTTTTGAAAATTTCATTATGTAAGTTGAAAACATGCATTGTTCATAAAGAAAATCATAAAATAGTAGTAAATAAAATTTTATCGGTCAAGAATTTGTTTCAAAAACTGATTGGTGTTCGAGTTAAAGTTGTTTAATGAAAATCCAGGGTCATTCAATGTTCACCAAGCATCCTGTTCTATAATATACATACACACGTGAATATATATATATATATATATATATATATATATACATGTGTATTTCTCTTTTGGTGTCAAATATTATTCTTACGCGAGGTTGGTGGGGATCTGGCTCAATCACTGGAAAAATGCGTAATTCGATTTTGATGAAACTTGACGTACATTGTTACTACAGTTTACTAAATATTTGACAAAAATTTAAAATTGAAACATTCAATAGTTTTTGAGATATGCGGGTTTGATGGGTGGCTGGCTCCGCTCTCAATACTAGTATTGAAACAGATTGTACGTTTTCATAAATGCATAATAAACAGTAAAAATAGATTACGTAGCAAATTAATTTTAAAAACCATGAATTGACAAATATTTGCACTTACACAAATGAATAATTTAGCTTACTAATTAAAATTTTGTTCTTTAAAAAATTTGTAGCGCATGACGTAGTATTGTACGACGAAACGTTTGAAAAAATAAATATATTTTGAAATCTTTATAGCCATTTTTGTACTTGATGTTATGCGTTTCAAAAATTGTATTCATATACATATACAAATACTCTATTGAAAAATTCCATTCATTTTATAAAAACGTGACTATTCAAAATTATAAAGGATTTGGGACCGACTTTCGACCGACTGTCGCTTCTTATTTGCCGCATTTTATAAAAAGAGCTTATAATAAATATATTTTAAATAATTCAACTCAACAAAGTTTTAATATTTTGAATGAATAATACTATTAAGAAAACTGAATAATTTGTGGTGATTATCATAAAGCGATTATCAAAAATCCAATGAGAATTCTAATAAGAAATAGGAAATAAATTCTAATAAGATTTCTAATCGAATTCTTTTAAGAAAAGTAGTTTAAACCTATTCCTATACTTACTTGTCCCAATTATGCATTTTGACGCAAAGTGCAACAGCTTGCACAATATTACCGCTATGTAATAAAACCGATTCAGCTTCTGATTGTCGGCCGATTAATAGAAGAAATTCAGCAATCTGCTGCGGCCCTGAAGGCAACTCCTGATAATGAAAATTTATCATTTTTAAATTTATTAATGCGTAAAAATTTTAATTTATCATAATGTGTAGAAATTACCTTTATATAATCAATAAAAGCAACGCGATCCACCGTTTGGGTAGCAGCAAATGCTTGTAAGCAGATTTGTAACTCCTTTTGATAACAAGCCATTGCTGCTAAACACCACCATGCAATTCTATCCTGTGATAAAAAATAAGATAACATAAAAATAACATAAAAACCTGCAAGAAGATATTAAACAAAGCAGATGTGCCAGATTTAATATTTCCATATTCATATTACATTAATATATTATTTCTTACTTTTATCAAACGACAAAGACGCAAAGATTTATCCCATTGTTTGTTTGCTACAAAGCCATGTAGAACAAAATAATGCAGCTGAAGAGAAAGCGATACAAAAGCCCCATCCGTCCTTTGAATACTAATGATGGCTCCATCAAATGAGATTAAAGTCGGACGTGCGCCAAATTGACTTCAAAATATAATAAGTAGATATAAATTTATATTAAATTAAAAGCTTATTGTTATTGTTGCAAGTGTGATTGTAAATATCTGCTTATGCGTTATAGAAAATGAAGTATATATATACAAATGGTTATTTACAAAATACACTTTATAAACGTGCAAAGTTCCATCAAATTGCTAATTGCTTCTAGATATGACCCACAGAACCAAAATATCAAAAAAAAAAAATGACCCACCAATGAACTGTTATTATTTTTGAAAATAAAACCTACGCAATATCATGTTCAGACGAAGTATTCGATAATAATATTATACTCGCACTGCATTCAAGTGGGCAATACCAAACGGAAATTCGTGACTCCTGGACAGCTGCTAGAACATTTGCTTCAGAACTCCAAATTATATCCACAGCCTGCATACCTAAAATAATACCCAGAACATTTGATGTTACTTATAACTTGTAATGTAAAAGTATATTTTATCTCATACACACATTATTTTCTTTCATTCGACATTATTAGACAAATCTTTTTTAAAAATATTTAGAATGAAGATATTACTAACCCATCTTATAAAATTTATTTTCCCCATAAGGTACAATGAACAAATCATGATTAGAATCTAGAACTGCAATAGCAGTGTCGGTTTTAGCTTGAGAGACACACATTTTGTGCACCGGAACTGAATGTTTGAGAATTGTTCCTTGAGCATTGGTCTGATGGGTCATTGGAGACCGACTTAATTCAAACATATGAATTGCTAAAAACATTGTATTCAATAATTAATATTAAATTATTTACCATATACACATTATATAGTTAAATTTGTTACCTTTCTGATCACTATGGTCCCGGATAATAATCAAATCAGCACCAAGGGAAACAGATTTGTTATTTATCTGCTGAGGCTGAATGCCGGGCCAACGATGGTTAAACAATTGTCTACCAGTGTACGAATACACAGATACAGTAGCATGCTCAATCAATGCAAAATGACTATGAAAAGAAAAATGTATATAAAAATACAATTAATTTATGAAACTAAATTCAATTCATATTTTTGGCAAGAAATGTGAAGAGTAATGCTTTGTTCTTTCAATAATTCAATTTTTTGTTTAAAATATGTTTAAGTAATTCATACTTCTCCGTCATCTGTATGGAAGCTCCACATCCATCCTTCAACTCAACAACTGTGGGTGAAATAAAATCGTCAATTTTATATATATGGCATTGAGTTGGTGTAGTGACCAGCAGATGCTCAGAGTTTATATCAAAATTTGTTACTCGATCTGTAAATTCAAGCATTTCATTTATTGTTGTATCAATTATACTGCTCACTGACAAAGTACTAGCTGTAGTTAGAACAATGTTATAGCTGTATTTGCACAATTCCCTGAAAAGTAAGAATAAAGTGTAAGTGCTTATCAATATAAGACCACTATATTCAGACAGTTTTTCAAATTATTAACGCAAATCTTACTTTTCTATAATATTTCCGAATAAAACATGTCCATTGGCACATGCTGCTGCAATACGAGTTCCGTCTTGCGACCATGCGATGCTGTACAGAGAACCAGTTTCGGCTTTATTCCAAGCATGCGACCACTATAGGATAAATTTAATAATAATTATAATTATAATCATATCAAAATTTATTTCTTATATATAGAATTAATTTTACCCCAGCACTGTCGCACAGGCGAATTCCGTTGTAAGTGCCGAGAGCAAAATAAGCTCCGGATGGAGCCCAAGCAAGAGAAGTCACGGCGGCTTGATGGTGTGCATTGCCCCCATACAGTTGTCGGCCTTGCAAGTTCCAAACACGATATTTACCGTCTTCTGCTCCGGAAACGATAACTTCGCCTGCTGTTGAACTAAAACTGAGACAGGTAACGGTGGATTCGTGCGCACGCCACTAAAATATACCAACTCTTTTAATGACCGACTTTCTCTTCCACTTTTTAGTACTCGATTTCTTTAGATAAACATTTTTGTTTACAAACATATTTGAGTTGATAATATAAAATATTTTTTTCATTGTCCACACCTTTATTCCTTTAGAATTAGCTGTGAGTGGTTTGACTGCTATTCTGCGACCATGAGAATGCACAATAGAGGAACCCTGAGTGCCCCAAAGAGCTACCATATTATCAGCATTTTCTTGCACAACAGTAGATCGAAGCATGCCGCTTCTGGACCATATTCGAATATGCCCATCTTCACCACCTACAGATATATTTTGACAAAATATTATTGAACACAATATTTATTTTTGATTCTTTAAGTATACCATTAAAATCATATGATACATTATGTGTATAATTTACAAAAATATATTCAGCATGCATATTAGTATCTTATAAGAAACTGATAACGATTAGACAATTTAAATGTATTTATGAAAAAACGAATTAATTCGTTTTATTATAAGAAAGTAGTACTTACAAGTTAGAATACTAGCACCATCTGGACTCCATCTTCCAGAAAGAATTGCTGCTTTGTGAGCATCTACTTTTTTCTCAATTCTACCAGATTTGTTCACAATAAAAAATCTGTTGGTTTCATAAATTTTTTTAAATGAGTCTAGATATATATATATATATATATATAGGTATATATATATATTAATATTTTATATTTCCTATGTTTTTATTAGTAGAAATAAAATATCTCAGCAAACTCTCACAATCTCCAAAAACAAAAATACATCAATGTTTTTCGGATAATAATATTTCAACTTTATTTTTATAACTTTCTTTAAATATATTTGTAGCTATTTCTTCAAAATGGACGATCAAAATCAAAAGAAAATGCAAGAAACTTTATTACTAGGTCAACAGCTAGCATTGATGAAAGGCGAAAATTTTAAATTAAAGTCAGAACTTGTGAATATTTCTGATGCATCAGCTCCTGGAATATCTGAAAACCAAGTGAAGGGTGAAATTATGCAAATCAAAAGAGATAGTGCAAACATCAATTTGGCTTTAAACAAAAAATCTCTGCAAATAATAGAACTGGAAAGAGACATAATTAAAGAGCAAATCGATTCAGTCAGCGATGAGCTAACTGCGATTGAAGCTAAGCAAACTATAATAAAATTGAAAAATGATAATGAACGCATTTTAAAAGAAATCCAGAAAACAAAAGAGTTGATAAGCGCAAATCAAAGCAAGGAAAGCAGTAACAGATTTTGCTTAAGTATAGAAGGCCAGCCATCAATGTCTACATTGATGACTCAATTGGAAAGTGAAGTACAACAACTCAATAATAAGCTATCTACTTTGCCAAAATTAAATCTAGAGGTATGTTAAATAATATACTGATATTATTCACTATGTACTATTTGTAGTGAACACAGTACATTTTAACTAAGAACATCATGTAATTCTTTATGACAATGTGGAAATAATTTTTATAATTTACAAATATCCTTTAATAGTGATGGAAATAATTTTATTTTTCTTACATCCTTTGATATATAATTATTGTAAAAAGTATTCTATTCTATTATTATAGGGCAATAAGGTAGACGAAAATATGTTGAGATCTTTGCAAGAACTACTTCTGCAAGATGAAGCAAAAATAAAAGATCTTGAAGAGGAAATTGATCAATTAGAACGAGACAATGCTGAGTTTCAATTGCGATACAAAATGTAATTTAAAATCACAGTTTATAAATATTATCATTGCTATTAAAAATTATCTTTAAAATATTATTATGTTTACCTTCCGTCTGTACTACATACAACAATTGTATCCAAAACTTGTTTGCCTGGAACAGCTCCAACTCCACTACCAGAAGTTACTTTTGGGCAACAGTGCAAATCAGTAGGGAAAAAATCAGATGGAAAAGTAAGGACTGTTGTTGAGTCCGGTACTGATAAATTCCATTTTAGTAATACGTGATCATCGCTAAATAAAATAAATATATTAAATGACAAATAAAATAGAGAGTCTCTATTTAAGTACAAAAATATTAATACATCAAAAAAAGTTGGAACTCATTACCTGCATGAATAAACTTCTTCGGAGCTAGACCAATCCACGGCTGTAACTGTAGCTTTATGTTTTGGTTCTTTGCAAGTAAAAGTATTAAATTTCATCTTCAAATAATAAAAATTATAACCTTTACAATAAAAAACTTAGTTTTAATATGCTGCCATGACAACACAAAGAGCAAACATGGCTAAATTTCTGACGCGCCAACATTGAACACATTTGAATTTTTCAAATCAAACCGAAAAATATGTAAAAAAAATAAAATTAACATAAATAAGTTATAACGTCTGAAAATCTGTTGAGGTTATTAGTTAATTATTAAATTAATAGTAAAACATTTCAAAATATTTAAATGTTTTATTTATTGAATATATATTATAATTAAAATTATTTTAAAAATATTTGATTATATGAACTTTTCTTAAATATATAAAAGCTTTATTTATGTTATATATATTAAAATAATTACTCTAAGATTTGGTATTGCATGAATATAATGGTGTTTGAACAGTGATGAATTTTGATTTTTTCGAGAAATATGACATATTAGTCAAAAATGTTTTATAAATTGTAGTTTTATACTTTTATAAATTGTATAAAAAAATAATACTGAATTCAATCACGCTAAAACAATAATATATATATAGTAAATAATAGAGCAATTTGTAATTTTGTCATGTGCAATCCTTCTTCAAGCAAAAAATATAAATTTTTACATATGTTTAGAATTGTGAATGCTTTACTTTAAATACTCTATAATTTATATAGAGTATCTATTTTTGAGATATGTGATATATAATTATAAAAAATTTATATATATATATATATATATATATATAAGTATATATTTCTTGTAGAGTTTGAGTATAAATAAATACCAGCAGTTTATAAATAAATACCTATATAAATATTTTCTTATGATATTTTAAAGATCTGTTATATTTGGATGGCCCATAAATCCCAATGATCCTAAAATAATCAAATCAACTTACATAAAAATTGCATTGAAATCATTACCAGCGCAGTGGAGTGGACTTTATGTGCCCTCCAGAACTGTAATTGAAAAATGTATTTTATTATAATTTGAATAATAAAAATTTGATAAAACATAATTCTGGCTCAATTGTCTGCTCACGTTACCTAGCTATAGCTACTGCTTGTGCAGGAGTGATTGTTATTAAGGGAGATAAGCGTTCTGTGAACCTTTGATAATTTCTTTCTAATTCTCTTTGGTAATCCTTTTGATCGATACCAATCAAATTTTTATTCTTCTTTAAGGCATCATGACATCTAAAAAGAAAAATCTCCATCATTGATTTAACAATATATATATCTCTCTCTCAGTATCTTGGCATATAAATTTATATATGTACTTATATACAAACTACTAATTTATATTTTAATTAAAAATTTTAATAAAAACGTTTGTATCTTACTTTTTTGAAAAATCTTTAAAGCATAATCTCAACTTATTCTGTAGTTTAGTAGGAGTTTTTGTTGTATCTGGAAAGCTCGATAAAAATACTAAAGCCATTTCCAGAGGTCCTTGGTTAACCGTTGTACCTAAAAAACAATATTATGTATTTGCATGTATTTGTATAAATAAATAAACAACTGTGTATATATATATATAAATATTCTTTTATAAACATAATTAAATAATAAAAAAAAGTTTACCAATACAGCCTTGTAGCACCATTTGTAAAATTTTGGGATCCGGGGGTTCTTGAAGTGTTGCATTGGACAATTCATTCGTTTTCTTCTGTATATCTTCTATAGCGACTTCTATAGGAGACAGCACAATCTGAAAAAATAATTTAAATATTCTAAATATAACAAAATCAAGATTATGTATAATTCATGAAAAATTAGATAATATATACCAGACTGTTTTAATGTACATAATTATGCAACCTGTACTTACTTGCTTTCTATGAATAACCTGAATTCTGGTTTTAACATATGGAAAATGATTAGCAGTAGTTAAAATTGTTTTTCTTTTACACTGCTCATGTAATTCTCCGTGAGCTCTACCAGCAGGTGTAAATGGTGTAGCAAATATAAATCGCTCTGAAATAAATAACATAAATACATTCTTATTAAAATTATTTTTAAATAATATCTCTAATATAATATATTAAATAATACACTTACTTATGTTGAAATTGCGTTCAAAATAAGTCTGACGATGTCGCAGTTCATAAGGCTCAAAATATGGCTCAACATATGTTATTTGAATATAAGCTTTATCTGGATTTAATAATGAAGTATCAACTACATTGGAATCCTTTATGATACACACAGAGTCAGGGCCAAATCGATCATTGTAGAAGTTCTGTTGATCAAAGAGTAATTTATAATAAATATATTATGAAATAATAAAGATAATTGTTGGTAAAAATATAAAATTACCTCTAATCTGCTGAAAATTTCTGGTAGTTTTGTCAAAGTAGGTTCTTTATAAATAAATTCCTGACCATCTAAATCACCAAACTTTTCGCCGTAAAAAGCGACACGGAAATATGTTCCAAAAACTCGTTTTCCATGGAGCTGCTCAATTCTTGTATAAGCTTCATGAAGTTTACTATATTATTAATAAATAAATATAATATTATTTTAAAATCAAAAATAAAAAAAAAGATATAATTGGATATTATATATAATCATACTTATGTATGTTAGCAAGTTTCTTGTAATCTCTATTAGCTTTAGCTATTGGTATTAAAATACTGTATACATCGCTCATTGTCTCATACATTCCAGCCAACTGAAATGAACTAGCAGCATGCTCTAAAAGTCCTAAAAATAAGAACATAATTTAATAATATTGCTTAATTTAAATTTACACTCTATGTTCACTTTACCTAATAAACCAGCTTCTGTAAAATCTCTTCCCAAACAACCAGCTTCATCACCAGGACTGAGGACGTCATCTGAAACTGCAGACTCTTGAACAGCATTAGGAGTAACACTTTGCAAAGCAGCTGCACCAACTGGCATATGAGGTAAAGATTCTAGCATCTGTAGATATTCAGCAACAAGGGCCGCTGAATGCACCAGGCACATACCAGCTTCAGTGTGATTGTTCCTCTAAATAAAAGAACCAAAATTTTAATATATTCAAGTGCAAGTCATATTGACATACAATATACAATGGGTGGTACTGCCCGTGAGTTGAATCACCATGAGCAACCAGATTGATTTATCACAGGATAATTATAAATACCTCCATATGCTTCTGTGCCATATTAGCCAACCAGGTCAATCTTAAATCTGGTGAATTGCGATACCCTTTTGCAATCCTATACATTAAATCTAACAACATTTCTGGATCTTCCTGATACTCTTTCATTTTCACAGTATCTGACAATATCATGTGTAAATTAAATAATAAATCTTTGACCTGAAAATAAACATTTTACTATAAAAAAAATTCTTAATTTTATTGATAATAATTTTATGAACTAACTTGTTCGGGAAATGTAGTATGCAGTAATTCTACATCAGCTTCTGAATAAACTAAAATTGTTTTCAGAGATCTTCTTAAAGAACCTTCACTGAAACTATTGCTGGTACCAACCAGCGAGCTTAAAGACATAGTCACTTGCATTTTCACTCGAGCAAAATTCTAAAAAAGGGAAAAAAATACAATAATGATGTTAAGTAAATAATTATGAATTGAGGAAAAAACTCGTCAGATTCTTATAACATCTCAGTAAAAAATATGTATAAACTTTACAACTTTTTGAAGTTAATTTATAATCTAACTATATATCATGCCTGTAAATAAATATAACTGCTACTTACATTTCCAATTTCAAATGTTTGTCTCATTAAAAGATACAAAGAAGCAGCTGCATGAGATCTCACACTGGATAAATGAGAACTACAATGCTTCAATAATATAAGACATAAATCAGAACATTGTTCATTTTCCTCATCGAATATTATAGAGTGAAACTGCAACAAATTTTAATATGATATAAATTGTAAAATGCTTGCATTATTGCATTATTTCTCAAATAAATTTGTCTAGAAATATTTTATCTTAATTATGTATCAATAATTTCTATTTACCTTAAAAACTAAAGATCTTTGAGTTGCAAACATACTTTGCAAAACAGCAGTACTTTGGTTTCTTGATAAAGCATGTAATAAAACTTTCAATACAGTACCTAAAATATTATGGTGGCAATCAGTAGAAACAGCAATCTAAAATAAATTTAATTACATACAAATAAATTAACATATTATGTACACAAATAAATATCATTTAAACATTCTTTCAATTAAAATATATTAAAATTGCAAAATTTTGCAATACTTATTATGACCATACTTGAACAATTCTTTCCAAGGTATCAAGAACTATAAAAGAAGCTTCTGCTGCCCAATTTTGAAAGGCTTCCAGTTCACAATGCATATTGCGCATAGCATCGCTGTGTGCTGATGCTGATGAAGATTTATATGATAACTGCTCTCTACGCCATCTTAAAGTTGATGTCTGGCTGCCTCCAGCAGGAGATGGTGGAGGATTTTTTTCTGTAAAATGAATTATATTTGGCAAATACATTGCTGAGATATTAAATATGAAAATCATGTTAAATGACTAACAATAAAAATAAATATTTCAAAACATCATATTTACCTTTACGTCGTTGAATCAACTCACTTCTAGCAGAGCCTTGTCCTAAAATCATATCCTCAAGTCTCGACTTGATATCAGTTGGGGCTTTGCGAAAGTTTTGCTTAGCACATTTTAACATTTCCTTTTTACCCTATAATAAATTGTTAATTTTATATATACAAACATAAATTGAAGTCAATTGAATACTAGCCTTGTACTCAAAACACGCTATACAAATATTGAGAACTTGTAATAGTTGATGCAATCTTCTTGGAGATAATGTGGAGCCCCATTGAGTTGTGGCATTTTTATCTAGAGTTTTTAAAACCCACAAAAAGCAACATAGTAAGTGGCGTGTAGTTTCACTAGATAGTGTGATTTTCCGGTTGGACTGAAAATATTATCACACATTAATTACTTTGCTCTAGAGAAATGTTAGTATTGAGCGCGGAGCCATCAACCTCGCATATCTTAGAAATTATTGAATGTTCCAACTTTAAATTTTGGTCAAAATCTTGGCAAAGTATAGTAACAATATGTGTCAATTTCATCAAAATCGCAAATCGCATTTTCGAGAACATACAACTCTGTTTAAAATCCAGACAATTAAAAATATTTTTAGTGTCATTAAATTGCAATTTACCTGGTTTAAGTATCCTTGATGTTCTCTTTCAGGCATTGCTGGTCCTGCAATCGCCATAGCAACATTTTGATTTAATTCAGTTGCTTGAGAAAAAGATCCTTCTGAAATAGAACTAGGCTGATTAGCTGGTTGATTACTTTCTAATCCCATTGAAAGTAGACGATCTAAAACAAAATATATTGTTGAGTTATTGATTTACAAAACATATATATTGTCTTAAGAGTAAGTTGTTTAACAAATTGTAAGTGCCGTACCTCTAGTTTCATAGTGTTGATATAGTTGAGGCATACAATCCATCACAATGGCTAACAAAGGAATGTATAGTGCAGCAACACGAGCTTTTGCTGCTTGATCACAATATCTTATATCACTGTCATGACAAGCAAGTAAATTTCGTACACACAACACAGCTTTGGAATGCAAGCCCGGATTTCTGAAATTATCAGAAACATTTAAACAACTGTGAAATAAGTTCTTTTCCTGATTAGGCATAATTAAAGTTCAATAATTGTTCTATATTCTGATAGAAACCTGCCAATAATTCCTTATTATTTATATAGTTATATAAAATCAGAATATTATACATACTTAAACAGCAGAATTAAAAATATTTTATGTTTTAAATATAATTTAAATATATTGTATAGTTATATTTCTGTTAACTTACTGAACATCCATTACTGCAGCCAGTTCAGACAATAAGAGTCCTATCAAGAAATGATGTGATCGGAATTCAGGTCCAAGTTCTGAATAGCAAGAACGATCTCCTGAAACTAAAGTGCTGATAAAAGATGATTGGCTGTTCACCGAAGACATGGACGGTGTTGGGCTAGGAGGATTAGATTGCGGACTCGTATACGGAGTTCCAAATGGAAGATTCAATGCCACAAAATGCTCATGACTGCAAACAATGCGTAAGAAATCCAGCTGGAATCCAAATGGATATTATTTCAATATGAATCTAATTGCAATATTAGCCTAATCTATTTCTATTTAATATACAACATTTTCAAATATTGTACATTTGAATTTTGTATTGAATGCTAAAAATAAAATAAAAATGAGGCTATTCCAAAATATCTGATAAATCAATTTCCATACCTTGTACTCTATTAAAACAGTAGCATCAGGTAAGGCACCAATTTTGGCAGTGATCTGCTTAAAGTGGCTTCTTATAAGACCAAAAACAAAACCTCTATCCATAATACTGAATAAATCAAAACAAAAGAATGCTAATGCAGCATTAAGAGATTGAGATAGTTTTACATCAGCTGAGTGCTTCGAAATGACTTCTGAAGTAACCAAATTTACTAATGTGGTTATATCATCCACATATTGATGCGAAAATCGAGATTTTCTAGGAGACTTGAGGGTATTATTGTGAGCCAAATGTTCAGCCATACTTTTGATCATTAGTTCAAATAAAAACCAAGCATTAGCCATTGCCAAGTCACGAGATTTTCCACTTGATACAACCCATTGCAGTGCGATTTCTTCATGAACAATTTTTATATTGTTACTTTGCATATAAGGAGCATCATTGGTCCCTTAAAAAACGAAATACTTATTCCAAAGAGATATTTAATATGTAAAATCTAATAAATTAACATTCAAAATAAATAATCAGGGAAATAAAAATTTAAAAATTCACCTGCTCTCATACTAGTAGTTCTATCAACACTTTTTGTTGGTGAATAATCAGTATTGATATCTGATTCACTATTACTCCTGTGAAATAAAGGAATTTAATAATCTATCTAAATAATACTATAATATCTAATAATATAAAATACAATTAGTTATTGTATAAAATTGACCTGCTGATTTTAGTCGGAGATAAAGGAGAACCTGCAGTTTGCGACAACGGATGAGGCATCGAGCACTGATAAGAAATATAAGTACTCAATATAGCTTGTCTGCCATGTAGTTCAGTGGAAAAATCCTGCAGAAGCTGCAAATATATAAATCTATAGTAATGTAAGATCTATACTAACTTGTACTAATAATAGTACAAAACCATTTTTGTAATCTTTGTTTTAATATAAAAATTATTTAACTTGAATTATTAACCATTACTCACCCCTATGTTATTAACAATAACCGATAATGCATGAAACAAAGTAGAACCGACGCACAAAGTGAGGCCACCAATTTTTATAGGATGCACTAAAAGTTGTAAAAGTTTGTCAAATACTCGCACCAGGTTACGAACTAAAGGTTCTGGTTTTGCATATTGCAAATCAAGTATTCTAAAAGTGAATTTTATAATCAGAGCTCATTAAACTAAAATCTTAATCAAACGTGTTAAAAATTACCTTTGCTTCAATTCATTCTCTATATTATCTTCGCCTATCCGTGCTGGTATTTTTCCACCCGCTATAACATCGCATAGATAAAAAAATCTGCAAATAGTAAATAAGAGTAATAAAAATTTTAAATAAATTATTTAATATTTCTCATTAAATTAAATTAAATGCATTAAAACATATTAAAATTATATAAATAAATCAAATATGCAATATATAAACATATTTTATTTTATTATGTATTTAATAATTAATTTAAAACTAAGAAAAATGCAAAGTAAAAAAAATTATCTAATATCTTCATACAAGAGGTTCCATTGAAATGAAAAATTCAGCGAAACAGACTTATCGAATATTAGAACAGTAGACTAGCATAAATTTTTATGAATTGGCAATAATAATGTTATATTTTAATTATTACAGCTACATATAATGCATCTTTTGTCAAATAATTATGATATAGAAAATATTATTAATAATTCCATTCCATTAAAGTCTTTTCAAACTATTTCAAAAAACAAATGTACATCAATAACATACATTTCAAACCAGTCATGTCAAACAAACAATAAAAATATAAATTTCCTCGGCTTTATAGAACAAACTCATTGAAGAATCATTAGAACATCAAATCCTTTAATTATTTGAATAAAGTCACATTTTAATTTTACATCAGGATGAGCAATATAGATTCACCAGCAAGTTCGGACTGTGAAGCAGATAGCTCCGCAACCAATAACGCCATATCAAAGAAGTGCAGGCTTCTAGAAGACCTTAAGATGTTGCATGAATATCGGGAGAGAAATCGTAACAAACGAGAACACATTCAAAAAATGCTAATCAAAGAAGAAAAAAATATACCTCAAATTTATAAGGAAATACTGAGACGTCTAGAAGAAAAGTATAAAAAGCTACAATTTGAAAATAACCAATTACGTGAAGAACTCGACATGCTGAGCAAATGTGAGACTGTTTCCGATGAGAAATCAAATAATATTGCATTGCAATGATTTTATCAAATAAAAACCAAATTTTCAAATAAGTTTATAAAAACCCTGTGCTATGAATAAAACAAAAAAATTCTTGTAGACATGACTAATTTTATATACATGTGTATGGATATATATATATATATATATATATATATATATATATATATAAAAGGATTTTATGAAAACCAATTTATTGTATTCTATGTAATATTTTTAGAAAGTATTGTAAATATACAAAATATGTATATTTGTATCCTTGTACATAAATAAAAAATAAAATCATTTCATTTCTTTTATAATTCCTGACAAAAAGCAAAGAAATTTTCATCCCTTAGCAAAGAAGTAATTAAATATCACAGAAAAATCATTCATCCTTTATTTATTTCAAATAAAATTTTACTCATTGTTAACTGGCTTCATCGGAAAAATTAGACAGAATCTATTTATTACCATGGAAACATTTCCTTTACCTGTCAATGTATTTATCCTGAGCATAAACTGATGTCACAGAGTCAACGAGAACTGTGAATAAAGGTCTATGGTTATCAATCCATTTCATTCCCGGCAAACAAACCTCAGGCGAAATAAATGAATAATTTGGTGGTGGTGGCTCTGCCATTACAGGCAAACAGAATTCGCCAGTATTAATACAGTCATCAACTATGATAGGTAGCCACTAAATAATATTAAAATATTAGGTAATGAATAATAATATAAAAAGATCTTTAATGTAAAAAATGTAAAGTTCTATTGATAGTAATTATAAGTAATTACTAAATATAATTTATGTTACTTACTGAATATCCAACTGGTGTTTCTACAGAACTATTAACTTCCTGAGGTTTTCTTTGGCATGATATGTGATAAAATGTGAATAATAAATGATGCTGAGAACCTAAAGCTGCAGGCAATCGAGCTTTAATTTCATCATAAAATACTGGTGTCCTGAAAAATTAAATTATTACTAGCAATGCAACAATTATTACTAGAAAAACAACAATGTGCTTTAATACTTCAGTATGACCAAACTAGTCATAAGTATTATCAAGCAAAATAAAGAGGGCTTACTTATTATGGTAGCTAACAGCAGTATAAGCCTCTGTTGTAAATTCTGGACAAGAACTCTTTGCAAATATTGCTGGCAAAGCATGCTGTTGAGACTCTCCACACATTAGTTGTACACGCACAGTAATGTTACGAGCTGATCCTGCTCGTGATGAAAAATTCAATTCACGAGGACTTACATATAACAAGTTCCGGTAGGAAAAGTGTGGAACATAGATCGGTTGGAAAGGAAACTCAAGTATTTCTTTCACTGGACGGCTGTTATCATCTTTAAAAAAAATAGATAAATTGATTTAAAAAAAAACTATCATTATCGGATAATTCTTACATTACTGAATTTACAAAAATATTTCATGTGAGATGATTTATATTGTTTAGTACTACTTAGTAATACGATTTGAAAATATTATTCAATTTCACACATTTAAAACTCAATTAAGAATTGAACCAGATTTTTATCAACATTACATTCAATTATTTAAAACTAAATTTATTAAACAATATTAAAAAAAAATAACTAAAACATCTTTTTCTATGATAAAAGAAATTCACCTGGGTATGGTGCAATCTTAGAAAGCTCTGGTGTAAGTGCATATTTCAAGTCACCCGAATAAGGAGAAATATCTAACTTTAATGATCCTGGTATGCACTTTAATTTTTTCAACGCTGAGCATGGTCGCTTTAAATCTAATAAAAATTTATAGAGATCGTCTTCTTTCAGCTTGTCAGATTCCTAAAACATATTATTATTAATAATTTATTATTAATATGATTATTAATATATAGTTAATTTTCAACAAATATTATGTAAGAAAATCTAATATAAATGGCTCAATAATAAATTATTTAATTAAATAAATTCACTTACTTGTTTGAAAAAACTTGTAACCGTGAGAGTGATAGGTTTAAAATTATACAAGTTATTTACATATTCGTCAGTCGGCCACGAACGTCGTTTTTCATTACAACGTCTTTCTAAAGATCCTCTTCGACCAAGGGTGCCACTCATATCTGTAGCACGCTTTCGTAAACTATCGAAACCACTTGTATTACTCTTACGATCTGTAATTTAGATAAGCTCTTCGTTCAATAATTTCAAATCAATTGTGCTGATAATATAATTAAAATTTAATCAAATCAAAAAGTTTGAAAATATTTATTCATTGTAAGTAAAATACAAATATATCTAAATTGTTAGTAATATTTAATATTTTTTCAGTATTTATTAACTAACCCAAACTATTGGAGGAACTGCATGTACTCCCAGTTTCTCGGTCGCTATCACTCCGCTCCAGACTGGTGCCACCATTAATAACATTCATTAGATAAACTGCTGTCCAAGCAAAAGGCATACGATACTTGCCTAAACGTTCACAAGACGCTGCTGCATTAGATCGCACTTTTTCTCGATTCTGATCATTAAAAAAAAAAAAAAAAATTTATTCAGGATAGACCAAAAATTAAGTATCTGTTCCAGATTATACTATGACACACTTAATAAATAAATGTATCAAATTTGTCTATTTTTCTTAAATCATTTATTAGCTTAAAAAGTATCAACAGTAAATTTATAATTGATATTAATTATATACATTATTTACATTGCAAATTTGATATGATATAATGAACTTCCTATTGCATAATTATAGTATAAATTTTCTAGGTTTATTTAATACTTTTTATGTATACAAGAATTTATTCAACTAATAAAGATGCCTGAAGTATTATCCATACTTTATGAACTAAATCAATAACACAAATTTACCTTGTCATCTTTCAAATAAGGTTCAATACATTCACTTATGTCCCCTTGAAGAACCTTCTCAAGACGTACTACAATGAATAGATCGGGACTGACATGAGTGATATCAAAAACAGCTGCTCTGCTAAGAGTACTTACATCCACATATGGTACATGAGATGTAAGCATTCTTTTTATCTGATCACTATTCATATCGAAATAAAAATTTTCTGAAACTTTCTTCCTTTCTTTTGCATCGTACAGTGCCATTGATGCAAATATTGGCTCAACTTCCAAATCCAATCTGAAATCCAAATTGAAATTCCAATTATAATAAAAATCACAATGTAATATATTTATTTATAAAAAAAATGGTAAAATCTTACTTTAATTGAAGACACTTTACTAATATTCTATGACCCATATGTTCAGATGGAATTTCAGCAGGAATTCTTCTTTCAACATATTCATCCATTTCTGGTTCAGGAAATAATGAAAATAAACATTCCTGCAAAAAATAACAGGAATATATTAAAAATTATTCATATGAACACTTATCAATATATTTTTGTATATAAAAAAAAAGTTTACCTCTCGATTTTCAAATCGTTTTTCTTCATTTGATTGATCTACAAGCTCAGGACTTTTTCCTTGCAAAAGACCTGGTATAAGTGAATCACTAACAGAACTCCTAAGATCCAATGAAGCCCAAGAACCGCGAGGTGTTTGGCCATCAGCATCAGTGCTCTCGCTTTCAGAACAAGATGATAATGATGCCACTGAGTGCCGGCTTGGAGGCAGTGAGTCTGACTAAGTTAAAAAAAGTAATATATTTTATTTTTTTCAACAATATTTTAACAAACTGATGAAAATTTTTAAATTAAAAATGGCTTGTTCATACACGGCAACTATTATCATCTCTAGCAGAATCCAAAGTGTCAACTTGAAACTCGTGTCTTGGATTAGAACAAGAAGTGCCGGCTGCATTAATCCATGGATTTCCGCGTATCCAGGCTGAACTAGATAGATGTCGGAAATTGTGGGACAGAACTGACCAATCACGGGTGTAACACTCAACGCACTCGCGAACATGAAGTGGCAGCTCAGAGCTATAAAAACAAATTTAAATTCGTTTTTTACACTTACTTTTATTTATAAATATGTATAAATATTTAAATAGACATAATCAGAAAATTCAATGGTATTCTTACACATCTTCATCTGGAACAACGCGACAAACAGTTCGTATTTTCCGATCAATTTTCACAATATCTATATCATTGGTAGGAAAATCAAGAATGGGTTTCAAATTGTCACGATCTATCAAAGATATATTTTGCAACAAGAAATCCTCATAATCCAGAGGTTCGGCTAGATCACAAAGTGATACCTATGTAATATTAAATAGCAATTAAAAATTTTCTTGATAATTATGAATTATTAAAATAAAGTTAAGTGAACTCCTATAAATAATGCTTTTTAAACCATTTTTTATAGTGCATGAAGCAAATAATTTTAAAAGTCATGTTGTTTTTGCTCAAAAATTCAATATAAATTACACACACAATTACTAATTAAAAATATGTAGTTCCAAATATGGTTTGTAAACATATTTGATAAGTTTATAAAAATGTCTCACACTTGGGCAGAGCACTTATTGTTTATTTATTACTATTATAAATGTCTTAATTAATAATAAAAATAATAATATATTTGTATTTAATAATATATTTCTGGGTGTGTGTAATTAGCTGTATACGTATATGAGAACAAAACTCTTGTTAAAAATATTTGAAGAAATTTTATGGTAATTATATTTGCATGGCACAAATTGTAGTATTTTAGTTTTGAAAACTGATTGAAAACATTACAGATGAAGAGCATCCCGATATCTGCCCATAATTAGTTGGTTGATATGTTGCTATATTTTTCCTTACATCAGCCGCGTGTTGCCTATAATATAAAATAAATTAGAATTGATTGTTTAAAATATTAGTTTAATTGTTAAAGAAACTAGTAACATACTTGGAAAGTTTTTGAGCAAAAGCTCTATGTACCGAAGCCATCGCGAAAAATATTATAAAGTGCACTAAATATAAGATCACTTTGGTAATAACATCTTTAATAATAGATAATTAGTTTAATTTTAGATTATTAATTATAAAATTGTAAATAATTTGATTAAAACATTTATAAACAACCAATCTTCTAAATTTGACAACTCCACAACAATTCTTTAGTGACATCTAGGTTCAGTATAATGCAAAATGCATGACAGGCCAACAGACGTGAACCAGGCCAATAACCAATATAATAATGAACCAGACAATGGACGGAATTAAATTTACACATTTTATAAAGTTCATAAATTTTTTTTTTGAACCTCAGGTGTGAAAAACATAATATTATAATATTTCGCTCTATCTAATTCTAATCTCCATAAATAGTGTAATTGTCAAAATCTTGTAGAGAGATCCTCTGAAAATCATGTTTCAAGATATAAATAAATTACATTTGAGGAGCATATAATGATCTGAATTTGATAATGATCAGTATGAATATGAATATTCCTCATATTGTCTAGAAGTATAATTTATGGTCTGAAACATAAACAGAAAAATATTAATAAACATATTTTAATTAATAATAATTACTTTGCATTAATGACAAACATTCTTAATTAAAATAATTTGTTTCAACTTCAATTATATATTTTTAATTATTTTAATTTATATATTTATTGATAATCGTTCTACGAGAATATTATGGGTATCCCAGGATTGCAATCGTATATGGAAAAAAATCCTAAAATATATTACAAAGTGGACATATTGAATACCATAAATAATATTCCTAAAGACAATCGTGTAATTGTTGTGGATGGTTCTGCTTGTTTAACTAAATTTTATGGTGATTGTTATATTGATAAACTTGCAAATGGGCAATACCAGCAATCTTATCAAAATGCTAAGAAATTTATATTATATTTTAAATCCCTTGAAGTAAATTTGGTAGTTTTCTTTGATGGTACTGTGGTAAATAAGAAAAGGAGTTCTTGGATTAAAAGGAGAATAGCACAACAAGAAAAACTACTTAATATTTTAGATTTATTAAATGCTAATAAACGGGTAAATCCAAATAATATTCCTATGCCGACAGCATTGAATAGTGTTACTCAGACTGCTTTCTCTGAATATTGTGAGGTTCGCATGGCCTGTGATCAAGATTGTGATGAAGCAATTTTAGAATATGCTAACAAGCATAATTGCCTGGCTATTTTATCTCAAGATTCAGACTTTGCAATGTCTTTGGGAAATTGGAGCTATTGGTCAATTAAAGACGTTGATATAAATACAAATTCAACATACGTATATGATAAAAAAGCTTTAGCAGAGCAACTTGGTTTGCAAGAATGCCAGCTTCCATTAATGGCAGTACTATCAGGAAATGACTTTATTGGCAGTGAAATGTTAAGAAGATGGCATCAAAATCTAACCCGAAGCCGAGGACATATTAATAGGCATCAACTTTTTCATTCTATTGCCGTTTATATTAAACAATATAATGATCATCTCAGTCCTAATGATTTGGAACATATTTCATTTAATGTGTTCGAAGATAGAAGAAAATCAGTGTTAATTGAACAAACTCTTTCTTCATATACAGGAAAAAGTATAATTAAACCCAATTCATTTCTTCAGTCAAATGAATCACTTTGGGATAAAACTGTTGACGAAATACACAAGAAGCATGAATTAAGTTTAACCATTTTTAATATTTTAAAATATAAGGTTTTTAATTCATCATCAATATATGATGATTTTCGTCTGACTGACCTGCCATTATCAGGATTATTTTGGAGACCATTACGTGCAAAACTTTACGGAATATGTTTTGCAAATCACCCTGATGAGAATATTAATGTTGAAGAATGGATAAGTGCTGGTCCTGGTAGTTTAAATGGACCCACTTTTGTTAAACCAGTACCTCACCCTTTTCCAGGTGTTGATATATTTGAATTAATAAGTGGGAGAGCTCTGGAAAAAAATAAAAATATAGGGTTGCTTTTGATATGTCACTCGATTGATAACATATTAAATGTTGATAATATTTTGAGCTTGCCAAACTATATGATACCAAGCTTTCTAACTGTTACTTACATGATGTACAACCATGTAATAGGATTGAAGGAATCAAAATATTTTTTACAAATTTGTTTATTATGTAATTTATGTGAAAATGCTGCTAGTTTAGTAAATAAGTATAATATTATAATAAAATCTAAAGCATTAAGACTGGCATCAATTTATTTAAGAGGAATCGGCATTATGAAAACTTTGTCCCAAGCTTGTGGATCTACAATTGATGTAAAATATTTTGGTTTGGAAAAATTATATGATGGAATTCTTTTTCATTATCTTTTTACTGGAAATATTATTCAAAAATATGAGGAACACCATGATCTTCTACAGTGTATCGATTTATTACAAAGAACACAAGATTTAACATAAAATATTCAGAATTAATTTATTGCTACTTTGTATAAGAAATGCAAGACTATAAATGATTAGTTTCTAAAACTAATTTAATATAAACTGGTGGCAATATGATAGATACAGGAAGAACAAACATTTTGTTCAAACATTTAGATTAATTTGCCAAAAACCTAAGGTGCTCTTCTATAGAGTTATAATTTGGAAAGACAAAAACAATAACCATAAACAAAAAATTATCTTATCACATAAAAGGGAAAGAAATCAATAAATATATAATAATTATTCGTAACAAAATATATTAATATTCAAAAGATGTATAAATATATTTAACATGATATAGTGATATAAGCAAACATAAACTGTTATTGAAAGTAACAAAATTAAAATGTACCTTTTGTATATAACTTTTGTAAATGAATATAAATATATACTAAAATATTAAACAATTCAAGTTTTTTTAAGCCTGTTACTATATATTCTAGGGAGCATATTATTTATTAATAATTCATTAATTTACATATGTAAATAACAATATTTTAAATGGAACACTATTCTAATGATTCCAATGCGGGGCCCCACAACAGATTTAAAGACAGCATTTGAAAATTGACTCAACACTACTTTAATATTTATGTATCGAGTTATAGTAATTAGTGAAACATATGCTTTCATAATTGTGTTTAATATTTCCAAAATTTAAATTTGTAAAGAAACTGACATCAAATACTAAAATGTGCACAAAAGTTTTTGCTACACTCTCTATTTTCATATTTAGCTGAATGTGTATTTAGTGCTGTTGATAATTTATTGATGAAAAATAAATTAATAAACTTGTTATAATATAAGGCCCAGACTTGAAATTAAAGCTAAATAAGTTAGAACCTAACATAAAATCTGCAACAAGCATTAAGATCACGTTACCTATCACATTAAATGACAATAGAAAAAATAGTAATAAACCTAATTTCAAATAGAAATTTATTTATATATTATAAACTCTAGTATAAATATTGAAAAGTATTAAAAATATGTCGTAAACCATTTATTTAAATTGATGATATAAAAACATAAAAATGTCGTATTATTTATAAATTTACAAGAGTTTATTTTTAATAAATAAATTTCTACATGTTTTTAAATTATAATATACTTATGTTTGATACTAATTAAACGCGGATTTTTCTTAAAACTCATATTTGATATTTCAGGAACAAAAACATTTTAAAGGTTAAAAATTTTGTATTATGACGGCCATAACCATAGATAAGATTATCTATGTCTAGGGATAAGACAAAAGAAGAGCTGATGTGATTCGATATTCGATTCCATTCATCATAGGTGGCAACACTATAGTAATTCCCCGAACTTTATGCTTATTTATCTCTGCACTCGACACCCGACTGTGACGTTTCATGACGTAAATAAATAAACGTTATTTATTTTTACTCTTACAGATATAAATAAAGGGATTCTTGTAGGCATAAATTGAGTTTTGATGCGTAAATATATTTTAAATAATAACTTTATATTAATGACAAACATTTTTACTCAGAATAACTTATTTTAACAATTTATGTTCGTGATAAAGTAATTCTGTTTTAATTTTTATCGATGATTATTGAATGAATGAATATAATGGGTATCCAAGGATTGCAATCGTATATGGAAAAACATCCTAAAATATATTACAAAGTGGACATATTGAATACCATAAATAATATTCCTAAAGACAATCGTGTAATTGTTGTGGATGGTTCTGCATGTTTAAATAAATTTTATGGTGATTGTTATATTGATAAACTTGCAAATGGGCAATACCAGCAATTTTACCAAAATGCTAAGAAATTTATATTATATTTTCAAGCTCTTGAAGTAAACTTGGTAGTTTTCTTTGATGGTACCGTAGTAAATAAGAAAAGGAGCTCCTGGATCAGGAGAAGAATGACAGATCACGAAAAAGTGCTTAATATTTTAGATGCATTAGATGCAAATAAGCAAGTAAATCCAAACGATATTCCTTTGGCGACTTCTTTGAATAGTGTCGCTCATACTGTATTTTCTGAATATTGTGAGGTTCACATGTCTTCTGATCACGAATGCGATGAAGAAATTTTAGAATATGCTAAGAAGCATAATTGTATTGCTATTTTATCTCAAGATTCAGACTTTGCAATGTCTTTGGGAAATTGGAGCTATTGGTCAATTAAAGATGTTGATTTAAATACGAATTCTGTATATGTTTATGATAAAAAAGCTTTAGCAGAGCAACTTGGTTTGCAAGCATGTCAGCTTCCATTAATGGCAGTACTATCAGGAAATGACTTTATTGACAGTGAAATGTTGAGAAGATGGCATCAAAATCTAACTCGATGCCGAGGGTATATTAATCGGCATAGACTTTTTCATTATGTTGCTTTTTATATTAAACAATATAATGTTCACCTCAGCTCTAATGATTTAGAACAAATTTCATTTGATGTGTTTAGAGACAGAAGAAATTCAGTGTTAATAGAACAAACTATTTCTGCTTATACAGGTATAAATACAATTAAATCCAATTCATTTCTTCAGTCAAATGAATCAGTTTGGGATAAAACTATTGAAGAATTTCGAAAGGAGCATAAATTAAGTTTAAGCTTATTTAATATTTTAAAATATCAGGTCTTTAACTTATCATCAGTATTTGATGATTCTCGTCTGACTGACCTTCCATTATCAGGTCTATTTTGGAGACCACTACGTGCAAAACTTTATGGAATTTGTTTTGCAAATCATCCTGATAAAAATGTGAGAGTTGAAGAATGGATAAGTGCCGGGCCTGGCAGTTTGAATGGGCCCACTTATGTTAAACCAGAACCTCATCCTTTTCCAGATGTTGACATATTTGAATTACAAAGTGGGAGTGCACTAGAAAGAAATAAACATATAGGGTTACTTTTGTTATGTCATTCGATCAACAACATATTAAATGTTGATAATATTTTGAGCTTGCCAAACTATATGGTACCAAGCTTTCTAACTGTTACTTACATGATGTACAACCATGTAATAGGATTGAAGGAATCAAAATATTTTTTACAAATTTGTTTATTATGTAATTTATGTGAAAATGCTGCTAGTTTAGTAAACAAGAATGATATTATAATAAAATCGAAAGCTTTAAGACTGGCATCAATTTATTTAAGAGGAGTGAGGATTATAAAGACTTTATCCCAAGCTTGTGGATCTACAATTGATAAAAAATATTTTGGATTGGAAAAAGTATATGATGGAATTCTATTTCATTACCTTTATACTGACAATATTATTGAAAAATATAATGAGCATCCTGATCTTCTAGAGTGTATTAATGTATTACAAAGAACACTATATTCTACATCAAAAATTCAGAACTGATTTATCATGTTACTTTTATGTAACTATAATTAATTAATGATTAGTAATTAAAACTACTAATTTGATTTTAATTTAGTTAAACTAATCGCAATAATAATCTGATGCACCATGATAAATAAACATAAGAACAAAATATTGACTTAAAATTTTAGCTATAAATATTTTAATTTGAAGTTTTAAATTTATCAAAAACTTAACCTACTTTGTAAGAGTTTTTTATAACTTATAATTTTAATAGAAATAATGAATGAAGGTCAAATTGTCCATAGAATAACAAAAACTCAATAAGAAGATTGTGAGTTTCAAATAATGTATATTTTATTATATAATAAATATTTTATATATCAAAAAAGAATTTTTTTAACAATGAATGAAAGGAAATACTCACATAAATCATCATATTTTATTTAAATTTATAATAAAATTGAAATCTCATCCTCTTTTATAATCCCCATAATTATTTAATAAAATAAAACCATTACAACTAAAATAAAGCAATGGTACTTATCAAATTGAAACATGTTTAAAAGCTATAAAAACATAAATGATTTTTCCATTTTACACTAGACAACAAAGCTTGTTTAGTTTACTGTTAACTATTTCTATTTTCATATTTAAAATGCATCATACTTTAATTAGAACAGTATCCAAAAAGTCAATCAAATTGCAAGTGGTTTTAGAAGTAATAAACTCAATTTTAAACGAGTTAATAAAAATTACATAAAATATTCTTACACATCTATATACATCCATAAAACTATATTTGCACATATGTAAAGATATAAGCATACACAATTGTGCATATATACAAATATATAAATATAATATATATACATATAAATTTATCATGAAAGACATACTATTATATTTGGAGTAACATTATTCATTTCATTATAGAATAAAGTACATTTGATATTATGGAAAATCTAAATAAATATGTCAAACAAAACAATTAAATCTATTTAATTTTTTTATCATTATAGAGAAGAGTTATGCTGATTATTATGAACAATAAAAAATATCAATATTATGCAATAATAATGGCCCTCATAATAACACACTTTTATACATAATTTTATTCTGCAAAGATAAATTATATGCAAGCTGTAAAAATTATTTCTATGATTACTTTGCTAACAGTTTTCCATATTATTTGCATATAAATGTGTGTGATTGCATATGGCCAATTTAAACAATTTCAGATATCTATCACATTTTTTTCCATATTTTATAAGCATTGTAAATAATTACATTACATATAGAGTGAAGGCAAAAAGGGTGTTCATTTTTCTAAAACGAGTTTCAAGATCTGTGTTTAACAATAAAAATGAATCAAAATGATGTCAGAATGTTAAGAAGCCTATCAATACAGCTCCCTTATTGTCTTGACACTATAAGTATCAAATCATATCAGCAACAAAATTAAAGAATGTTGTGAACATGCGCAAGATTTAAAATTAATGAATTTAATTCTCAATAACATTTGTTGAAATATGTATTATTGTGAAACATTATATTGAATACTATATTATTCAAAATGGAATGTTTTTTAAATGAATTTTATAACAGAAATGTTTTCATAATACATAGAATATTGTTTATATTTTTATCAAGAAAAAATTACTATGAAATATTATTTCCAATGTATATAATCTATGAATTACAATTACAATTTCAACGTAAAGCAAAAAATTCATTTAAATAAATAGAAACTTTTATTAAAATCATACAATAGTAATAATATATAATACAATATCAATAATCATTAGATGAATAGCATAAATATAATTTAACTGCTTGGAAACTAAACACAAAGAGCTTAACTGGTAAGATATATGTGTTTCTTACATAAATGTTCAAGTGGTTTTAGTTTTAAATCACGATGATGTAACAAGTTGCGGACAGTTTTGCAAGATTATTCCTTTTGAAATCTGTAAAAAATTATATTTATTACTGCTATGAATCCAGCTCTATTAAGGATTCATATCATTGATAATAAAAAACATAATTGACAGATCAAGTAAAAATTCATAGGCCCGTTAATATCAATCATCCAAATTAAGACTTGGACATCGATTATTTATCCATTTTAAAAATATGAAATATTTAATAAGATTTTAAGTGAGTAATAATAAATTTACACTAGGTGAATATTCAGAATAAGAGTGGGTTCATACTCTTTAGACGCAAAGCTTAAAAAATATGAATATCATAATGAAGAATTCAATACCTGTAAGCCATCACTTGCAACAATTTGATGTTTGTTTTCCAGCTTCACTATCATTTAACCTACGTCCTTGATTTGCTGTTCCAGCAGCACCGCTTTGATCATTCTTAGGAAGTTTCTTAGCTGAAAAATTCATTCATACACATAAATTTATATACAATATGTACAAAAATATTTATCAATCTGCTTAATAAAATAATTTTGAATACTAAAAAATAATTACCAATAGCTAGAAATATGTCATTCACATTCATTGCCGTTTTTGCTGAAGTCTCCATGAATAATAAACCATTTTCTTCGGCATAAGCCTGCGCTTCATCGTACTCTACCTGCATCAGATTAAAATAATTATGTTCAAGTTCCACAACATCACACATAAATTACAAAATATTAGTGATAGAACTGAATAAAATGATAAAATAGCTGCTAAAGGAAAAATATTTGAAAAATAAAAACAGTAATATATTAAAAAAAATATTTTGAAAGTAATAACTCTAGAAATAAAAATATTCAACAAACCATTCTCTTATTTGCCAAATCTGATTTGTTTCCAGCAAGCGCTATCACAATACTAGGAGAAGCCTGCCTTTGCAACTCTTTGACCCAAGTTTTGGCACGGCCAAATGTATCAGGATTCGTTATGTCATAGACGACAATTGCTGCTTGAGCACCTCTGTAGTACATTGGAGCCAAACTGTGGTACCTTTAAATATATTTAAATATTTAATTTATAATATTTTAATATTTTAATATTAATAAATTTATCTTAATATTTATTAAATATGGCTAATTTAAGAAAATCAAATCCCCTTGATTATAAATATTTCATAGTACTGATATCTTATAGCAAAATTATTGAAATATTTATACCTTTCTTGTCCAGCCGTATCCCAAATTTCAAATTTAACCGTTGTGTCATCCAGACACACAGTTTGAGTTAAAAACGCAGCACCTATAATGAAATAAGTAGTTTTTAATATTACTATTCTTAACCATTAACTGCATAACATAATTGAAACAGTTGTGTGAAGTATTTTTGATTTTTCAGTTCATTTTACCTATAGTAGACTCTTGATATTCATGAAACTGCCCCTTGACAAATCTTAACACCAAAGAACTTTTTCCAACTGCACTTTCTCCAAGCAGTACTAATTTGAATTGGCAAATTTTGCCTTGTGGTTGACCAGCCACTGGCCTAGATGCAGTGTTCTGTCTGGTAGACATATTTATTCCTAGAAGGAAAACAAATATATCACTAATTTTTTATAACAACAACTTATTTTTTCTATAGAAGTATTGGCCTAATTAGTAATAATAATTTTATGTGGTTCTTCAAAGAGAAGTGTGTGAGAAGTGTGTAATTATCAAACATATAAGTAATATAAATTGAAAAAAATTACTTATTCAAAATCATTATTGAACCAATTTGGACAAACGGCATACAATTATAGGGATCATTTTCTAAATCAAGCATTTTAAAAAATAAATGACGTCGAAATATGTTATTAAAAGAATGCCCCAAAGTATGTTTCAAATCGATTAATCCATAAAGACACCGGCATTAGCACAGTAAACGACGAAATACGAACACGTTCAGTAAAGTGCAAAAGCATCCTCGAGGATCACCCATCTAAACTCACTTGCGAGAAAACTCCACCAGAACAATAACAAGGCCAGATTAAAAAAGAAGTTCATTCTTACAAGAATCTCAATATGAAAATCACTGTCGATTTATAAGTCCTATTTTTATTCTTAAAATTTCACATGGTGTCCTTTTCGGAGAGTTGTAAAATCTATTGTCTATAAAAAAGTAGAAAAAATCATCCTACGATACAGCACAGGATAAAAGAACAAAATTCAAAAAAACTAGTGGGATGCATGGCCTTAAGTTAAATTGCTGGAACTTCCCGTACCGTAATTAAAAATCTTGATACGGAACCCAAAAAAATTTACACAAAATGTGTACACATTATTAAAATGTCTATAAAATATCTGATAATTTGATGTACATATGTCCAATAAACATTTTTGACCGCCAAATGACATTTTTTTAACTTAATTTTATTGAGAGTCCATAATCGCTGGACCTGCCTTGCCAAAAATTTAATCAGTTCTTCATCTTGTCAATACAAGTAAAATGTTTTTTGAATTATTAAAATCGGACGCTCCATTCTCTTAAAAAAGCGAGTTATCGTTTTTGGCACTTTTTGCCCCGTATCTTAAGAAAGGCTAGACATGCCTTTGTCAAAAACTAATCAGCGCGTCTTCTTATCAATACGAATCGACTGTTTTTTGAATTATTCAAATCGGTAGATCGGTGTTCCCAAAATCGTCGACGAAAACTTGTATCCGCACACACACACACACACACATACATCAATTTTTTCTAAGGTATGTCAAAATGTTCAGAAACCTTTGAAACGTAAAGATATATAAAATTTTTAATTTTCAATTTTTTTTGCGATTACTATAACTCGCCCTACGGGAAGTTAATAACTATTAAGTAATATATGAAGTAAAGTATGATTCCATTGAAAATAATATAAATATGAACAATATAATATATAAATATATATTAAAAAAAATAAAAATCGAATGGTAATTCAAGTGTTCTAATTATATTTCAATAATATTAATGTTCATTGGCACAGAATTTCCAGTATTAAAAAAATAAAATAACATGTATCAGAATAAACGCGTATATTGAATAAATCAAACATATTGAAGGGCTTTACTAATAAGTTAATAAATTGATTAGATATCATAAAGTATGTGATTCACTCACAAGCCAAAGATATAGGCAATTATGTGAACTTGAGTTATCTCGTATGGCCATGGGAATCTAGTTGTCAGTTGTTATGAAATTTGCATCATTAAAATATGCGATTCTCAATGCGAATCGTATTAGAATCAAATTTGAATTATTCCGTGATTAAACACAGCTGAGAATTAACTTTTTAAACGTAGAAGGAGAAATATTCTATATCAATAATAATCAAAATATAAAAAAGTAAAAAAAATCTTAACGTATCTTTTCATCACACCGATTACAAAAAAACAACTTGTTTACGTTTGTAGGAAGTATAATTTGTAAAGACATTTTTTTTTGTATAATGAGATGTGACACTGATTCAGTATTAATAAAATAACTAGTGGTGTATGGAATCGTGCTTTAAAGCTAATTGCTGGAATTTCCCGTACCGTAACGATATGTTCGAGAAATATTAAATGTTTTCAGATAGATTATTATGAATATTGTAACATTGTCTAATATTTATAAGAATTATATATAAGTGAGCTTTAAAACTTCAGCCAGAATTAAAATTGAAACCTGAATTAAGTAAAAGGAAAATGATTTTTTTTCCAAAAGGAATTGTTTCGTCGACACAAGCAGAAAGTTTTTTGAATCATTGAAATCGGATGCTTATTTCTCTCAGAAACCGCAATTTTTTTGTACATTTAGCTCTGTATCTGTTAAATAGCTGGACCTGCCATTGCCAAAAACTAATAACCACTTCCCCCAATCATTACTAATTGAATGTTTTTTATATCATTCAAATGGGATGCTCCGTTCTCTCAAAAACTCGATTTCTATTTTCTGCACTCTTTGCTCTTTATCTCCGTAACGGCTGCGCCTGCCTTTGCCAAAAACTAATCAGCACATCTCCCTATCAATAGGAATCGAATATTTTTTGAATCATTCAAATCGGTTGATCCGTGCGCCCGAAAACGTGGACGAAATATTGTATCCATACATACATACACACACACATCCATTTTTTCTGAGGTATGCTAAAAAGTTCAGAAACCTCTAAAACGTGAAGAAATGTAAAAATTTTCTATTTCGATTTTCGACCCATTACTATAACTTATCCTACGGGTAGTTAATATATAAATAAAACAATTTGTTGAAGCTGTATAAAACGAATCATATTAGCTAATCATCAGTCTCTTAGATAATATTTAATAAAGTTTCCTGCATGGCACAACTTTGATTTGTTGCTAATTGTTTATCAATTTAGTAATTTTATTTCTAATCTTCTTAAATTTTTTACAGCAACTAAAACTTAATAGTCCTATAAAATTGTTCTGATTATTTCTCAATGACTTTATAGATAGCAACCCAGCGGTTGGCCTATCTCTTACTGTTGCATTTACTATTAATAATTAATACTGATGACTTTAATTGTATGTAGCAATGCCAAGTAAAGGCTATTTTAACTTGTAAACATATTGCTATATATATTTTCAAGTAAAAACCGTTTTTACTACTACTCGAACCTGAAGATTCTGATTGGATTCCCATATGCCTAGCAACTAATCCACAATGAGCCATTTTTATCAAACCTGATTCAATAAATATTTATTTTCATACAAAAATAAATATTTTCCGCCGTCATTTTTGGTTTCCTTCAACCGGAAAGACCACAGGATGAGGGATCTGACCAGTTTTAGACCAAGATCATGACTCGACGATTTAGAAGATCTAGATTTAAATAAAAATAAACATTCAACAGTACATAAGTGAGAAGCCAGGAGACACCTGATAATATATCGAAATTGAATGGTGCTTATGGTGATATTGAAGATGTTGAAACTAACATACCTCTAGGCATAAGGTGAAGTCCTGAAGAGAGGTATAGAGAACCGACACCATAAAGTAAGCAAATATCCTCACATTATAATAAAAAACTGAAACCGAATTAGAAAATATGATGAACAAAATCCGCGCAACCAAAAGATGATCAGGAATAGTGATAATAACATCAATATCCATAAAATTAAATATGGTAAGAGAATATCACACCAAGTATTTGGTAGCATCTTAAATAAATACAGGCATCAGGCGTGAGAGATCAGGGCCAGCGTCAAATCGGTCTTCTCAGAAAGGAAAACACTACTGATAAACAAACCGAGTCAAGCCCTGCAGAAGAAGCATGCCTCTCTACGGATTAGAGATATGGACTCCATGAAAGGACGACAGAAATGGACTGGCAACAAATATAGCACACCCTGATGATTGCGGAGTGGAATTTTGAAAAGACAACTCCAACTTTACCGAATTTTTGAAAGAAAAGCTCTCTGCACAATACCATTGAAGACAAAATAGAATACAAAAGGGCAAGGGCGAACAAGAATGCAGTTGAATGACGAATTGAACCACGAAAAAAGTACAGGGAATTGAAAGTTGGGGCACAGGACACGAAAACATGGGAGCAAAAGTTTGAGAATAAAAATTATTTATAATTAAAAGATGGCAATTGAGGAACAAATGTGGTACTCTTATACAATAGCTCGCTTTTAAAACAAATACCAATGATAATAATATGATCTTCCGTTAGTAGTAAAGTTAATTTTGTTTTGATATAACTGACAAGATCATAATCCCAAAATCAAAAGCATTTAAATAGATAAGTCAAAATAATATAAAAAAAATCCTTAGAATTCTCACGCTTGATAGATTATGCCTTGTTTAATAAAATAAAAATATAAACATTCTCTTGGGTGTCTATTAGTAAAAGAATATACACAGAACACAATATTTTGGGTAATAGTGAAAGTTTTGAAAGCTAAATGCGAAATAGTTATACTTAAGTATTCAATTTAACCGTTTAATACTAATTCTCCTATTGTGTGTTAATAAACATTTATAAATTATCATGCGCGTGACAATTATAATAGTTATATAAACTATTGTAAGCCCAAAAAATTACGATATATATTTACTTAATATAAAACTGTATCTTATCACATTGCAAAAAGCAAAAGATATAACCAGGTCATTGATAAATATAACATAAGGAAAAATTATTTTGATACAAATGCAAGCAATACATTTTTCCTAAAATGCAAGCAAAAATAAAATAAGTAAAAACCAAAATAAATGACTCAGAAAAGGGGCGGAAATATGATAAAAAATATTTATATAAATTGCTATTTTTTATAATACGCAGATACAGCTTACGCTCTTTTTATTTTCATGTTTATATACGTATATTTATATATGGATTATATATATATATTTGTAAAATTCATTAGAACAATCTCCTTGAAATAAACTAATAAAGCACAAAGAAAGCAAGCTGTCATAGATAACATTTCATAAAAAATTGAAGTGTCATGTATCCATTTGGATTCATTGTTACAAATAGTTTTGCATTCTCATGAAAGAATATTTTTTTCGCACAGAATTAACAACAACGGATAATGTTTCTAAATTATCTCAATTATGACGCACTCATTATATAGTAATTTAAAATGTCTAACCTACCTTGCAATATAAAAGAAATGTATATAAGGATATACTGTTTAAAATAATACTCTATTAGAATAACCACTGCACAACAATTTTTTCATCACGTTTTGCACAAAATTTAATTAGAGACTAAACAGCACCGACTTTAAAATACATTCGTAAATAACAAGATAAATTAAGTATATGATATAAAATGGCCGACGTCAACGACAGCGCCAGCAGCTGATATGCGAAATAGATTATCTCGCTCGCTCTCTTGCTCTTCTTCCTCGATTCATGTGGATTCGTGCCAAGCCCAAGCAGTATGACCGAAGACCGAATGAAACAAATAAAACCGTTACAAATCAGTGCTACCAATTGGCATCACTGTTTCTTGCCACAAGTGACAGTTGTGATAGTTGTCAAAAGCTTACTCCATATCAGCTCCTAAGATATTTTTTATTTATTTTAATAGTAATGTGATCAAAGGTTTAAACAATGGTGACAGCAACGCAGTATTATGAACGTGATTTTTTAGAATATATATTTACAAGAATAATTTCTACTTTTCGATAATGGTAATTGGGTGAAAATTGTTTTAATAAATTAACCTCACAATGGGATTTTTGTACCTTTTAAAAAGGAAAAGTATTATTTTTATAACAATATTAATTATTGTGCTATATCTAAACTTAGTAACTCGATTATTTGAACGAGACTTCGAAACAGATTTTGATTATCCTTTAGTAGGAAATATAGAATTATTTGCTGAAGAGCTAAGGAATGGTAAACCTTCAGTTGAGCCTATCAATAATTATAGCTACACATTCAATATAATTAATAAAGATAAATGTAAGAAAAATGATGGCTTTATCAAACCAAGAATTGTGTATATTGTTAAATCAGCTATGCCGCACTTTGAAAGAAGAGTTGCTATAAGAAGTACTTGGGGATATGAAAATCGTTTCTCGGATGTTATCATAAAAACTGTGTTTATGCTAGGCATCAGTTTGCATGATGAAATATTGCAAGAAAATATAAATAAAGAGAGTGAAAAATTTAATGACATAGTGCAAGCAAATTTTATTGATTCATATTTCAACAACACGATTAAAACAGCTATGGCATATAGATGGGCTGTTGAATATTGTCCATATTCTCAGTTTTATATATTTATGGATGATGATATGTATGCATCAACAAAAAATTTATTAAGCTTTATCAGAAATCCTGTATATTATCCAGAATATTTGAAAAGAACTGATGAAACTTTGAGAATGCTAGTCCATCAAAGAAAATTGTTAACAAACGCATCTTCAACAGATTTAAATAGATCTAAGAGACAGTTAGTTGATTATGAACTTCCAGCCGATGCCAAACTATATGCAGGTTTTGTTTATGATACATATCCCCTCCGTGATTTTGGTAGCAAGTGGTATATATCACTAAAGGTATAATTAGTGTAGAAATAAAAATGAATAAAGCATGACGTGAACTAAAATATGTTTATTTATTGTAGGAATATCCTTGGAATAAATATCCTCGTTATGTTACAGCTGGAAGTGTAGTACTATCAAATGAAGCTTTGCATGTGTTATATTATGCCTTTTATTATGTAAAACATTTTAGGCAAGTTCTTCATGAAACAAATCATTTCAAAAAGATTTTTCTCTACCTTTTCAATAATCATGCTTTTAGGTTTGATGACATATTTATTGCAATTGCGGCTTATAAAACTGGAATTGAGCCTTTGCATAATGGAGAGTTCTTAACTAGTCACAGTCATTTTACTGGATCGAATCGATATACACTTACAGCTCATGGTTTTGGAGATCCTGAGAAGTTAATAGTGGCATGGACAGATGCTAGAGCTGCAGGAAATGCTTAACAATAAACAGTTATTACATACTGAAAATTTGTCATTGGCATATTACTATATTGCTAAATTTATAATGATAGTGTGATACACTGACTTCTCTTTAAATTAAATAAATCAGGACTGAATATTTAAAGCAAACATGATTTTTGTTTGATAGTTTCTGAAATAGAAGTAGAAAGTAATAAATTCAAAATGATGACTAAGTTAATATTGAATACATATAACCAATTTTTCTAATAGTTTTAGAACATTTATATAAAAAATAATCCTATTACAAATAATAGTATAAAAAAGATATAGAAGGTTTTGGTACAAAACTATTAATATTTAAATAATTAAAACAATAAAAGTTAGACATAATCAGCAGTGATATTCAATACAAAATACAGTAAAATTTAAACATAATGACAATGTATTACAACTAATCATACCCAGTTAAAATATGAAATCTGATTAACAAGCATATTTGTAATTGTGACTTGAACAAGCTGCTTTAGCAGGACAGGGTGGTGGAGGAGGACAACTTGGTGGTGGACAAGGTGTATTTCCTCCACAAGATGGTTTCGAAAGATTCTGATCCAGACAAGAAGCTTCTCTCTTTACTAAACTCAGAAGAACTTGTGAACTTTCTAGAATCTATAAAGACACGTATAGTTAAGTAACATCCTTCACACGAAAAGAATATGAATTTTGTATTATATATTCATATGAGCATTATATTATTTCAATGAATAGAAATTGTTGAAGCAGAATTTCGTTGAAAGAAGAATTTAACTGTGATAGATTTGTGTATATCACATAAAACATATTACCTTAACATATCCTGCTTCAGTTTCAGCAATTAGTCTATCATAGTCCTCACGTGCTGCAATTCTTTGAGCTAGACTTTCATTTAGTTGAACAAGTTTATAGGATAATCTTTCAATTTCTTTCTGCACCTGAAAAGATATGAACAGGTTGCAAAACCTCATTTATTTTATATTTAAATTAAATATATAAGCATGATGATAAATACAAAAATTCTTTACTTTACTCATCAAAATATGAATTTTATATTATAACACATGTATTATTTTCTACAATATTCAATAGTATTCTAAAAGTACCCTGCATTTTTCCTCTTCTTGTTTTTCAATTATGCATTGCAGGTCATTGCGCTTCTTAATAAGATCTTCCAAATCTAAAACAAATATGTTTTAAAATCTGTCAAAATAAATTGCTTAAAATATTATCTCTTCATACTTTTCACAAGTTCTTGGTTGTAAGACTGCAGAGCAGCTCCATGTTGCGCCATAATTTATTGTAAAATGATTTCATAACTTCAAATGTTGAACATTTACTTCAGGACAATGGCATTTACAATTTATTGAATTGTACATTGTAAATTTTTCATGTGATCCATGTGGGAATATATCACTGGATTTGAGATTGAATGCAACACCGTTTAAATTTAACAGCTATAGCATTTTAAACCGAAATTTAATACTACTAATTTAAATTTTTGACATATTTAATAAATAAAACAAAAACTCACAAAGAAATAAAAGAAGGCTATTGTGCAAGACGGAGTTAATACAAATGTTCACTTGAATAAAACTTCAATAAATATACTGTCATAACAGACGTTTACGACCGTAGATAAAAGAAGAGTATATAAAGAAGGGTATTAAATCCTGTGTGTTTGACAGCTTTACGCCATTTCTTTCAAGACCCTAGAAGACTAACTAAAGACCCTAGACTTTGTGCCAGAAATGACAACCAATATAACCTATAAAAACTAATTGTTTTAAGTTTAAAGAAAATTTAATTATTAATAAATAGAATATTATGGCAGGTCACATTAAAACACCGAAATTTCCAACAAAAACGCCAAAAACTCCCCGTAAGCAATGGCAAATACCGGGTACGTCTTCGCTGCCTTATATTTTCAAAGATAAAAGTTAAAACTTATAAAGTAGAATGATAATTGTTTGAGCAATTTGTTAAGAATATTACCCATATTTATAAAATTAGAAATTCATTGCCTTTATAGACACTTCTCTATACAAATTGAGGTACCAGTTAGCTGAAAATGGATGCAAGGATTCACAGCTTGAAATTGCCAAACGATTGTTGGGAGATGAATGTGGTTTGTTTAAATTACAAAACTATAATAACTAAAACCCTGCTTTAAGAAAAAAAACTTTACTTATTTTGCCTTCTTCAGGGACTATTGATAAATAAATTATTTATTATACATTTATGCACATTTTTAATCATTATAAATTTAAAAGAATTAACTTTTTATCTTAATGACTGAACATTTTCAATTCAATATAATGTGCTGAAGTACATATATAGCCAAAGTACGATATAGAATAGGATAGGATATATCTTATAAATAATTTTAATTCACCAGACATAAAAGCAATACGTGAGGCAAATTATAGACAAGCCATACATTGGTTATTGCGTTCAGCAGAACAAGGTAATGAAGAAGCTTTAGCTTTGTTAGAAACATGCCATCGCAAAGGCTTTGGTGTAACAGAAGATAACATAAATGATATTAAAACCTGTCTCAATATGACACATAAAGAAAAATTGGCCCGTAAAACAGCAAGAGAAATATTCTCAAGGTATATTTACTTATTGAGCATATAATTTCAGCTTTAAGCAAGTTTGAGATACATTTTACTAGCACTGAGTTTGCATATGTTATTAAAATTTGTAATACAAAAATGTTGGAACTTTTTCAGTTTATGCAAAGAAAGTGACCATGTACAATTATGTGACTTAAATAAACATATGATCAAAACCCATTATTTGAAATCAAGAATTAAGGATGAAAACACTCATGAATGTATTGGTATGTAATTTTACAATTGATACAAAATTAAGTAATTGAAAAATACTTTTTTTCAGACTATCAAAAAGTGCCAGATATGTTATTGAAAGAATCAAATTTACTCTCAGCTGCTCTTGCTTTTGCAGATGGAAATATACCATCTATAACAAAATCTCTTCAGTTAAACACATGCCTGTGTATTTCGAAGACGCATTGTAATATTTTATCACACGTTTCAGTAAACACGATTAATGAAACTATTTTGTTCATTGCAAATGGGTCTTTATCAATATTCTCCAATATTTATTTTCATATATTCATGTTTCTATATTTATTTTTAAACACTAGTCATTTCTCATATATTATACCTTTAGCAATATATTATATAAGTTTTATTATTATGACAGTAACTTCCTTCCATATATTTGAAATTCATAAAGAGTATAAACATTATACTATTTGGGCAGATTTATTTCATTATCATAGTGATGGTCTTTTAGATTCTGAAAAAAACCAGCATGACTTTCTTGCAAAGAATACTGCTCACCAAAAAATGTTTTTTGCTGCATTCATAATTCATTTAGCATTAAATCCATTTATCTTTAAATTTTGGATTCCTCTTGCTGAAATTGCAATTCTTTCATTGTATTTGTCCATTACTACTTTTGTAAATCATGTTTCAACCATTTCTCACAATAGTTATACAAGTAGTTTAATGATATCCTCTTGTATACTTAATGTGTTTGCTAGATATCCCTATATAAATGATTCATTTATGAATAAAGGTTGGACAAAGTATAAACTAGATATTAATAATTCCGCAAATACCATTTTAGGAAGCAAATTAGAATTCAATCTAAATTGCAAAGCAATTTTATATGCTATAATTCCTGGTATTCTAGTTATTTTATCAAAAATTAAAAATTGGCATGGGCTTTATTTTTATCTTTTACCACATTGTATAACGCTGAGTTGGTTACAATTATTTATATTAGATGCAGAATTCATTACATTAAATGGCATATTACGGACAGCGATAATTTTTATGACTATAACATATTTTTGGCGTGTTTGTCAATTACTTGGAATAATCTTACCTTTGTTAGCTATAGACAACTTTTTAAATATCCAAGATATTACACTTAAAATGTCTCTTGCTGTGGGAATAATAACTGGGATAGTGCTTATTAAAACAAAATTTGCTACAACAAAAAAAATATCACATAATTTTACATTTAAAGTGCAGGTAATAATAAGTTCATGTAAGATATATAAATTGTTTTATGAAAATTTATCTTACTAATTTTATTACAGGCGATACTTGTTATTGTTTCTATATTGTATTTATCTTCGAAGTTTTACAATATATCCATGCATGTGAATGGGAAAGATTTGTATAACAATAATGTAAAATTTGAGCAATATTTAACATGGGAAGAGTATCAACACATGTGTTTGAATGCACATGAAAAGAATACCAACCACATTGCTAATCAAGTTGATTGCTTGCATTTGAATGGTTTACATATCAAATGGGATGGCCATGTCACAAAAATCCGGCTAAGTAGAATTGAAAACATTTGGTCCCAATTATTAAATATGTTTCCCGAATCAGTGAGTGAATATTTAAAATGTTTTTTGGGACAAAAATTAAAATTTACTTGCACAGATAAAGATTGCATAATGATCAACAATAAAGTAATAGAATACAGAAAATGTGATATAAGTCAATGGAATAGGTGAGTAAAATTCATGTAGTAAGCTGTATAATAAAATTATTAAACATTATGTGTAATTTGAAACATATTTTAAGGTACGAGCATGAAATTACTATAAGTCTTCAATCTGGAATATTAACTGCCGGACCACAAATCATTTTAAGAGCAGGGCACGATTTCTCAAATTTAACTCAAATTTTACAAATAAATGATAAAATCAATTTCAAAGGAACTATGCAAATTAACCCATTTACAAATTTGCCAAATGAATATTTAGTTATTAATTTAGAAGAAATATCATGTTTAACGTGCTATGGGGTTAAAGGAGAATTAACTACAACTAAATCAATTAATTTTTCAAATAGTTATATAAAATATCTTGTAATTTCAGCTAGAAATATTTTAAATTTTATTTTAAACCCTATTATAGTTTTTCAATAAGATACAAAAAAATGTGATAAAATATAGAAATAAGCATTTTACAAAATAAAGTCTTTTAATCAATGATTCAACTAGAATATTAGACATGCAATAAATTTAAGATGTTTCAAGATCATTTTGGCAGTTCACTAAATACCTCTTATGGCTACCACAATCAATATTACGCGTATTAATAATACTTTACTTAACGTAAAGTATTCTATGTATGTAAATATCCTGGCAATTTCATCCTCATGAAGATCCATGTTGTGAAAAATGCTACCAAAACACAGATAAAACCTGTGCCAATCAAAAGAAGCCTATTTAGCTTCGGTGTTGTATAATTTTGTGTTTGATCTAAAATTATGAATCCTAAACCACCCACAGTGAAAAGAAAGCTGGAGGCCAGACCCTCCATAATATATTGTCCATTTACACGATATGTCATAAATGCAACCTGAAAAGTTAAATATAAATATTTGTATTAAGTATAATTTATAGATATAGTGTTAAAATTACAATATTTCAATATATAAAATTTACCGGTCTCGAATGTCCATGCTCATCAGTTGTCGAACCTACACTTGGGGGCTCAACAATTACATCATAAATAATTCCTGCAAAATTAAATTTCAATTATTTACTGTATTAAAATAAAGCTTAACTTGTGATAATTACAACTAACCTCCTGTGACCAGAAAATAAGATAACAAAATTAAGGAGAACATAAACATCGCCGAAGGTTTGTGAAACCATGATGGTGCTTTTATTTTTATGTTTGGTATTTGTAATACATAAAAAGGTAGCGCGTAAACTGATTCTAATTTTAAACTTGACATAATAAAGCTACTTTGCACAATTTTGTTTACGTGTGATTTGAAAACGAAGCTTCGGCACAATTTTTTTGACAGATGATACCAGTTTCTGTTTGTCGCCACGTTTCTCACAAGCAGCACCGTCGCACTGTTAAGTGACAGCTGACAGCAAATAATGTTCTAACCATAATCTTGAAAAGATAAGATATTTTAAAGCCTAATATAATAATTTGTTTTAAAGTGTCAATCAAAAATAACTAGCAGATATAATTATACAAAATAAAATTTGTTAATAGTAATTTTGATAAAACTCTCCTCTCTATGCATATGTATGCGTTTAAATAATAATAAAGTGATATTTTTTACTTTACTTTTTTTTCACACTTTATAGATATAACCAATAAAATACGAATTCAAATAAGTAATATAAATATAAGTTATTAAAAACATGGTAGTAAAAGCAGCAGGATTTGTTGTTTTCCGACGACTATCTGACACAATTCAATATCTACTACTACAAGCTTCTTACGCAAATTTTCATTGGAGTCCACCAAAGGGCCATATAGAACGCAACGAAAATGAATTTGATTCGGCACTTCGAGAAACATTAGAGGAAACAGGTCTTTGCGAAAGCGATATTAAAATATTTAAAGATTGTACCAAAACTTTATCATATGAAGCCAATGGTAAACCAAAGATTGTTATTTATTGGCTAGCAGAAATGATTGCAAAGGACAAGGGTATAATATTATCTGAAGAACATCAAGCATATAAGTGGCTGGAACTGCGAGATGCTCTTGCATTAGCTGAGTACCAAAGCACGAAGGAGTTACTTGAATATTGTGATAATTTTATTCATAAAGAAATCCTTAATAATTAAGAATACAAATGATTATGTATTATCACATGTGAAAAATGAATATATAACATAATGTATTAAATGCCTTAAATAAACTTAATGCTTTTGCTTTTATCTATTACCATTTGTAACAAAAAGTTATGAACAGAGCAATTAAAGTTTACATTGCCTCACATTAATGTTTTATAAAAACAAATATAGACAAACATGACAATGGTAGACATAAAATATCTCTGCCAAGTTTAGTATTTTCTTATAAAATAATCTTAATAAATACACATATATATATATATATATATATATATATATATATATATATTGCTTTAATAAAGGAATTTAAATTGCCTGCAGATTTGACATTATTTATTGAGAAGTACTTATTAAAATTTTAATAAAGTTTAATGAAATAATTTCAATATTCTAGTTAAGTAGACAAAATATTTATTAATAATTTATTAATAAGCTAAGTATATATATATATAAATAAAATTGTTTATCTTCATATCATTTTGTTAACTGTTATTTTTATGAAATTAATAGGTTGTCAGCACAGATGTCAAAGATGATGTCAAATCATTTCATTTCAATTAACATTTTTATACAAAGATTAAAATGATTGCAAAATTCTTGAGAAGTAGAGAAAATATTCTATATTAATATATAGAATTTAGGGCTTTATATAAATAAAATTGTTTAAAAAGCTATAAAAATATCATATGTTCATTTTTATGAAACCTTTGAGAAACCTAAACCTGAAGTGCGGCGCTAAATGTCACTTCGACTGACATGACACCGCCTTAAATAAATAATTTAAATTATTTAAAATTTAAATATAAACAAAACATCCAAAACAACTTTTGTATATCCATTAATTATGTGAATTACTTCGTTTTCATAATCACATTCAACGATAGTATGTTTTGTTTAAAGATTTTATTTAAAAATAAACATGATTTATAAATAACTTGTCGCCCCGAAAGAAGAAAATGATTGATTTATTCCAAAATATTGGCACATGAGGTGTATTCAAAACGCAAAATGTTTGAGAGAAAACTTCTTTATGCTTTTCGAGGATGGATAGCATTTGTTGCATTTATGGATATGGGAACAGCAGTGAGGAGTTATATAGAAAGGAGATCCTTTTTGGGCGATCATTCACAAAATCAGTTTATAGCCGGTAAAAAGATGATGATAATGTTATTATTTTCCAATTTTAAAAAAATCCAATACTTTGTGTTCAACATATTGTAAAAAAAAAAACTATGTCCATTTAGGTTAATTATTTTCTCGGCCTCACATTCCAATATATTATGCATGTACATATATACCATGTTTGCATAAAATCAAGGATTACACTAACTTCATATTTCTTAAAAATTAGGTTTCATTACTTTTATCAAACAAAAACTTGTCTCGATTTATCTCATTCTTTACAATTCAGAGTCTTATAATCTCTTACATGGAGTCATATCACATTATCTACAAAATGTATTTTATGAAGATGCTTAATAAAACTTCCATGGTTACATCTCAATCTAATCAATGAAGTGGTTGTGTGTTTTCCTCTTTAAAATTATGATCTCAAATTAACTTGATTATTGATATTGTAGCAATATTTTCTTCGAACAATATTCCATGTCTTGAACCTCTTCTAATCCTTTATTTTTGATGGTTTTAAATATATCTTCATTGCAGTATTATTTGGAAGTCCTAATGTAATTCAGAAATGCCTATTTCTTGAAGATGAATATACAAAATTGTTAATTTATTGCAGATGATTACACTATTTCAAGAATGCTTGGTATGTACTGTTTATTGAAAGCTCTTGCGCTGGTCCACTGCACATTATATATTCACTACAGACCGTGAGTGTTCAATTATCATACCTTTTAAAAAAAAGAGTGCTTTACGTTTAGTTATTATATTTCTAGAATTTTTGTAAACAATTATAAATGTTATGAATGTTTCAAGAAATTTATACTGAGAAACTGTATGTGTATCAACTATGATAAAAACATTCTTTAATAAAGCACTTCTGCAAACTGAAATTTGCGATATGTTGAAACTAATTGTCCTTTAAATTTCTAGGGTTGTGAGCATGGGCGGATGTGCATTAGCACTAACAATAATTTTATATTTCTTGGAAGCCCTGTATTTCAAATCTACCACTGTTAATTTTTATGTGCTATTTCCCACAGTATTGAATTGTATGTATACCGATATAATTTATATATGATACTCAGTATTATATATATATATATATATATATATATATATATATTCTTGTTTTTTTTTTAGTATTAACACTTATGGGCTTACTTTACATACCCAAAAAGTTGAAGTTATGGGAGCCTAAAATGGAGAATGATGATGAAAATGCTCAATTATTGAAAACTATTGGTCTAAAGCGCCGTAGGCAAAATAATAAGAAACAATAATTTAACAATAACAATTCGAGTAAAACTTGATCATCCATGAATTCATTAAAAAATGTAAAGATGATTGTTTTCAAATTACAAAATAAGAATAAGCTTTACTTCCTAAATCTTGGAATATCATTGTACATAAGTACAGATAACAGGAAACAATATATTCTAACAATTGTTCAATTGCTTTATTAAAAATGATAATTTAAAATTAATGAAACAATAGCAACAATTTACTATATTAAAAGTAAAATTATTACATACATGCATCATTATTTGTGACAAATAATTGTCTTTTGAAATAAGTTTCACATAAATTTTTAAATATATTAAAGATAGCTTACAAAAGTAGAATTATTATTGGCAAATGTCATCAGGGATTGTTATAATAGATTTTTTATTTTAAAATATAGAAGTTTTTAACCATTCAATGCTTTTACAAATTTTTCAAGTAGCTCAATACATTTATTTTATAACTACTAGATAAATTTTCACCTGATTTTATTTCATAAAAATATAATTTAAATTATATATGGCTAATGAATAAATTTTCAAATATTTTAACATCAGTAACAGCAGTATTTTAACATCCGCTAAAAAGATTTAACTTGCTCACTGTTTACTACGATAAATTATTAAACCGTCATCATAAATTTGTCTATCAATAGATAGTTATTAATTTTAAGATTTGTTCCCTGTTAATATATAATTACTATTATATTTTTGTACAAAATATAATAATCGAAAATTTAAACTTACACTGTCGATGAGACAATGGTCTCAAATTTTATCATTTAGTAAAATTAGTGCAAAAAAGAGTGTAGTGTGTTCATATTTACAAAATTAATCATATATATATTTATTATATACACCTCGGATAGTTGAATATAGATTAAAAAAACATGCCCAAACTGCTATTTGCAAGAGATTTGATACACAGAAAATAAATATAATTATATTCTAAGTTATTTGTCTTATTTATATAATAATATGTCCTAAAAGTGCGGTTTATTTTTTAAATATTTAAATAATTTTAATTATTCAAACAATTTTATAAATTATTTTAAGATGATGATGGTTTAGGAAATAAACTAAAGAAAAACTAATAAGCACAATTCTCAACTAATCTTAATCTTTCGAATTTACAAAATTAATTCAGGATTATTTGCAAAAATGTGAACGAAAAACTTAACATTTTTATGATAATTCTTAAGAAACTGCTCGGCCGATCGCTTCAAACTTCTCCTTCGGAAAGTTTTAAATTAAAATAATTTATTTCTTGTAATAAAATATTATCTTGTTCAATTTACATAGTTCTGAAAACAAAAATTATTGGAGTTAAAGAAGAAGTTAGATAATCTTTAATAAAATGCGCTTTTATATACAAACATACTGTAGTCTGCACACGTATGTATTTTATAAGAGATGTTTAAATCAGAGAATATGCAAATCATGTAATATTATATATGCATAGTACATATATATATATATATATATATATATATATATATATATATATAAATGCTTGAGCAAGTGATTGTTTATCACTTTAGTTAGAATCTTATAAGAAGGCGTATCAGTGCCACGCATAATATAAACTATATTTATTTTTTTTAAATATAATTTATAATAAATATTCAAAATGTATAGTGTCGCAAGTAAGTGAATTTTTAATATTAATAATTTATTAATATCAATTATAGTAATCAACTAAACGTTTTGTGTAGGTCGTATGTTTGCAGTCATCGTGTTATTTTGTGTTATCCATGAATCATTGAGCCAAGGATGTAAGTGTATTATATCAAATTTAATAATAAAATATATATATATATATATATATATATTATATACATATATGTATATATATCAGATAAAATTTTCAAGACTGTAACTTTCTACATAAATTAGTACAGAAATCGTCATAAATTTTCACTTTAACAGTAAATATAGTTATAACAGTTGCCAGGTTTTATATATAAATTATACCATTCAAAAAATATTTATTTGATTTTTCAATTATTTTATTCAACGTTTTGAGGACGTGGAATGTCCTATATTTCTTCAAGAACTATGGGTCATAAAGATTTTTTTATTTACTTATGTATATAGTTAATTTAAAATGAAAAGAAATCACTTTACTTTTAGAAACTAAATATTTATTAAATCAATCATTCAACAAAGACCGAAACGTAACAAAAACTACGTTTGAAAATTTATCCAGAAAATAAATCTTTAAATATTAAAATCAAAATAAAATACTAAAATTTCGTTTAATTTTTATGTATATCACCTGAAATCTTATTAATTTATGTATTATCATCCGCAATCCTAAAAATAATATATAAACATATAATAATAGCTATTATTATTATTAATTTGTGTCTGTTCTTTTACAACAGACACAAATTAATATTTTTTTTTTAAAAAAAACGATCATAATTATTATTAATTATTAAGTATTAATTAATTAATGTTGTTCTTGCATCTGCATAAATGAAAATATAAATAAATAAATTATACCCCTTATTATATTTATAACATGATGTGTTAATATAAGTAGTTGCATTTTAAATTACTTGTTTTTCAGTACTATGCCTTATTGAAGGGTATAATATTTTTTGTATTGGTTTGTATTTATTAATTGCTATAATAATACTTCAATACTCGTTATTGATGATTTTATAACTATTTTCTATTTCTATTATTCTATTAATTATTTCAGCATGTCCATTGGCTAGTAAAATAACCCAATGCAGCCCAAAATGCAAAACTGATACTGACTGCAGTTTAGGCTCAATTTGCTGCAATAATTTGTGTAACACAAAATCATGTACTGTCCTTCGTGCGGGAAATGACCAAGGATACAAAGGATCTTCATCATGTATGTGAAGATAAATTATATAAATTTAAGATTTAGCTGTTTATTTAATTTAAGTTTTAGCTGTTTATATTTTTAATCACCATATTATCATTTTTAAATTCGTATTCGATTATTAATTATTTAATTTTGGATTTATTTGCAGCTGGTGGCAGCGGTACATACTGCGCTGGAGTAAAGTGCAACTCCTTCGAAAAATGCGAATTAGATCGCCACACGAAAAGAGAAAAATGTGTTAGAAGTTAAATTATTCTAAATAAAAATATATATTGTTATTTAACGCAAGATGTGTAATCATAAAAATATGTTTATTATATTTATAATAAAAATAATTGAAAAATATGCTATGGTTTTCGTATGCGCAAAAGTGAACTTAAGGGGAAAGGATCACTGCCTTTTATCCCATTAAGCCAAGTTTAATAGTAAATCTCATAAAAAAAAGAAAATTTATGTAATGTATTTTTAAAAGAAGAGATTGAAGGATTTAATATCAATGAAAAATAATAATGAACGGAACAGGAAAAAATTAATTCATATATATACTATTACTATCTAAATATATACAATCTCTTTGATGAATAAATATCCTACTAGATGTATAATAAAATTTTATAAAAATCCGTAAAGCTGTCAGCGTTCGTGCAAATATGAAATTGTGCTGTTTATTTGATAATTTTGTTAAAACAAATTGTATCATATATAAAAGTGTGAAAATCTTAATTAGGCTTGTTAAGAAAATTAGTGCGTTCTCTAGGAAGCTTTCAAAATATTAATTACTCGTCAAATTGTTTGCTTATTATTTTAGAACAAGAATATTAACTCGAGTTAGGATTATAGACCTTCACAGCTAAAAAAAATTCTTCATTGATAAAGTTTTTGCAAATTTAGTAATGATTTATAAAAACAACGCATATGATGTTTGACATAAATATAAACAAATATAATAATGGAAATGAATATATGAAATTAAAATTAGATTAAATAATCTCTAAAATAATAAAGTATGATCTAAAATAATAGAAGAAACAAAATTAATTATTTGATTAGATTATTCGCAACTAAATTTTGTGGATTCACTCATATATAATTTAGTTGAATTTTTAGGTTTGCTGACGTATCCCAAATGTAAAAAAATCCAAGAAATCTTTTACCCTAAATAATTTCAATAATTAAAATACATTAAAAATAGGGACTTAAAAATAATTAAAAGTGGATAGAGTAATGTCCTCAGATAATTCTTTGTTAATCTCTTCGTAGTGATTTGAATTTTATTGCTTTAATTTAAAAAAATAATTATTTATACAAATTATTATATCAGATTTAAGGAAGTTGTATATAGATATTGTTGTCACACAGATAACACAGGTCAACAAAGAAAATGCATTGTTGCAAACGATTTTAATACTGTTTTTAAGTATATTTGGGGCGCTGATTTCAAAAATGACATTGGTTTTTTTCTATGAGCTTTAGTTTCAAGATACGATATATATGATATATTTTACGATATTAGGTGCGCAAACTAAGTTCTCGCTGTTTTTTCGATGAAAATGTAACTTTATTATAAAAAAAAATGCATCAATTGAGTTCGATACAGTTCTCCAGTGATGGTTTCACTCGGTTCAACAGCTCATAACAAATAAACACCGACCTGGTCCCACCATATGTAGAGCCAAACCTTCGAAGTGAATATTCGGCCGAACCGAGATTTTCTCGTCTTGGATTGCTGTAATGTATTTTTTTTTATCACCTGTCACGATGTGATGAAGAACCTTTCTTTTCTCGCCGCTGGAGCAGTTGTTTACAGGCGAAAAAAAGACGCTCGACGTCTCTTGTCTTCAACTCACAAGGAACCGAAGTTTCTTGCTTCTAAATCATCCCCGACGCATACTATAGCTTGGAAATGGTTTGATGGGTAACTCCTAATTCTAAAGCAAGATCTTCTTGAGTTTGGCACGAATCCTCTTCGAACAAGACCTTCAATTTAGCGTTTTTGAAGGTTTTGGCCTTCCTTCACGAGGGTGGTCGTCAACATCAAAATCACCATTTTTGAAGCGACAAAACCCCTCATGGCATGTTGTTTCGCTCAGAGCAACATTTCCGTAGCTCTCGATGCACTTTGCTGCCGTTTTTTTTTAATGGAAGACGAAAATCAACACTCCCCGCAAATGACGATGTTTGGCATAAAATTGGACATATTCACTTAACCAGAAGTATAGAATGCAAAAAACGAAATCAATTAGGTGTCGCAGCAGTTTGTTTACTTACTCTACGCTTGCTTCAAGAATTTTGGATTTGTCAAAATCGACCAACCCTTACTGATAAAGCCATATACTGACAAA